ATATGTGGTTTACCTATCTAAACGAGCAACTGACATAAGACTCGTGATCAACGCATCCAAATTACAAAAGAAACGAGTGGAGTTTTGAGCAATAGCGTACACCGACATTTACATAATATGGAAACGGTGTAATCGATCATATAATTTGGCAGAATGCCGGTACCGTACACAAGTTTTCTTTCTGCTTTCGCTTTGTTCCCGTTCGTCTCATTTTCTACCTATGATATAAATACAACTTTAGTTTTGGAAAGTTGAATAACCCGGAATGCATGTATACAAAACAGGAAAACGTGCTATTGCTACCACAAGGGGCCGAGTCACTCAAATGCTGATTCTGATAGCTATTTATAGGGTTTATAAAGTTTAGATTACAGTTCACACTTCAAGCCGTTTCGGCTTTTGTGGTTGGGAAGAAGAAGTATGTGTACGTGAGTAAGGTTTAAGCTAAAACTCAGCATAAAGTCTTTACTATATGTTTCGAAAGATGTTGTTGAATTATGTAATATGTATAGTGAAGCCTTTGGCAGTATATCCTGTCAGTGTCGGAAACCTCATCCCAAGTATTTGTTTTTGACGGAAATGTCTTCAGCCTTCATCCGTGATTCTGAGAATATGGAATCTTTAAGACAGTAGCTTTCACGGATGATTTAGTATAAAATAACTTTTTTTATGTTCAATGTTGAACTGTGGAAATATATTTTGTATTTCATTTAGAATGTATAACGTATACTATCATCAAATGACCTGCTCCTCAAACTTGAGTGTGTCCCATATAAACAACGTAGTGTAAACATTTTTTTGTACGTATTTGTTATAGATGTTTCCGTTTCTAGATAACATTTCAGTATGGCTATGGTTTCCGGAGCTGGTGATTAATCTATATTGTTCAGTTTGTCAAGCTGTTAATAGTTTAGTGCACCTTAATTCATAGTTTCATATTTAGATGAAGATATCCGTGATAGTTGACTGTTGTTCTTTGAAGACCAGAAAATAATTATGTAAGTCTATCTGCCATTGATCAAGAAAACATTCGTATAGAGAATAGCCAGGCAAACATGGTATTACTGATGCGGTAAAAAGCCTACCTTCAATTGAGTCTACAATTAAACATGACATAGGTCTCTGCAACTGTTGTTAGTTTTTGTGAAAATCAATATACTAAACCGTATGACACTGCAGAGCTACTTGATATGTCAACAAAAGTCTTTCAGTTTCATACTAAACCGATTTGTTACTTTAAAATTTATTTTAATTGAAACAGCCCACGTCAAGTCCAAATTATGTTTTTATTAACAATTTCCGCTTGCATTGGTACACTAGATTCATAACTCGTTTGTTAACACGGAGATTTATATGCAAAAAGCACCATTAAGATTATGTTACCATTAAAAATCGACTTAAAAAACTGATAAAAAATGGATCAGCCAAAAATGGACCCTTTTGTAGAAAATTTTGTTTAGATATATTTTATATTGAGGGTAAATAAAAAGACCCATCATCAAGAGATGCAAAAATGTTTGCTGGGTAACTTTTATTAAACATCAAAGCTGGTGGAAACATTTTGCGCGTTTACTAAAAAAAAAAATGTAAAGTAATGTATTTGCAAAAGTAATCTACAAACGGGTTGAGAGAGATGAAAATACCGTTGAAAAGGGACCCTAACATGTTCAATTTGCTGTAGAAGTTAAGTCGCCTGAGAACAGCTTGTCGGAAACAACCATTAACTTCAGAAAAGCGTAGCAACACTTAGAAAGCAAAAAATGATGATCACATTTATTGAAACATTCTACCATTACTGATTTTACTTCATCTTTACTGTTATATACTTTACTGCAAAGAACACAGACGACCTTTTCTAACAACAAATTGGCCAATCCACCAAATTAAACATTTTTATAAAGTTTTATTTTGGAGGTCCTTTCATCCCTAACAAGCCTTCTGAAGACCATTTATACCAACAGATCGTGGTTTTCACTAAGCAAACATATCTTGTATCTTCTGCCTCAAGAATATAATTGTGTCGCGAAATCAATCTGGACAACTTTTCCTCTGTAATTCTAGATAGGTATCCTGGTCTTTAATAATAGTGGTATGAAGCGAACAAAGCTTTTGGAAGTAGTAAGTATATTCCATACACGTGTGTCGAACATCTATGCTTTCAGATTTAAATCAAAAAGTAATTCTACTATTCTCGATAATCTTATTCGACAGGAAGTACGCCTTTTCTAGGTTGCCGCCCTCGCGACGTCTTTCTTTGCCAGTCTTTCCACTCATCTTCGATAGGCCTTGTTGACAGATTAATAGGCAGACCCCAACCACTTTTATACTACGTAGGCGTTTTGGTTCTGTACATCGACGTTCTGTATACTATCAATATATACAGTGCTCGTCAAAAGTTCAGCTCTTGACTACCGGGATTAGACAAAAATGTACGAAATAGAAAAACGTTAACGTGTTCAATTTTTGATAAATGTGATCAAGTCAAGAAGTTACTTAAAAAAATCGTTAAAATTTTAAAAATCCGAAAGTGTCATTTTCCTTTCAGCAGATCACCGTACATTATCTATGCTCGGTACTGTTCCGAGGAGAGCAGTCCGATGACTCTTCTCTAACGGACAGTTTCAGCACACTTTTGTACATACGGACGAGCTGTCGGCAATCTCTTCCATAATATCGCCAAGCTGTGAGCCTTCAAGACAGATCCGCTTCTCATCCTAACTATCGCTCCTTTGGGTGTCGAGATTGTGGCAGATGCCTGAGAAGGCTTTTTCCAGCTCTGCTTATCTAAGGTAGTTCACAAATGAGATTGAGAGGTTGTCTTTAACCTCCTTATAGCACTCGCGGCGCTAAGGGCTTTACACTTCCGCCTACGTAGCTGTTTTGGTACAAAAAATCAAAGTCAAAAGATATGTACCAATCTTTATCGGTAAATTTCTGAAATATTTTAATTTCACACATCTTTACGTATAATGACACTACTCTATAAATATAATGCAAAAAAACATTCATATTATTTATCTAATATTAATTTGATAACTAGTCTACTGTTGATGGATGCTTTAGACGGCTCTAACAGACTGACCTGAAAAATATTGTACTGACGAAAATTTGTTTGAAATTTTAACATAGGCTCGATAATAATTCGTTTTCTAGGTACAACCTTCTTTTGAAAATCCTTTTCCCCTGAAAAGTATTTTATATCTTTAGCCGTTCTTGTAAAAATTTATTGAAACTCAGTAGGTACTGACATCACCGAGAATCTAAACTAATCGGATAAAAAAAACCCGTCAATAAAATCCAAATCCACAGCTCTAAGAGAAAAAGTTGACGTATTTAAGTCCAGCCCTCTAGATGACTATCAGGAGAAGCATTATCTGGCTTAAGATTATATTAGTACGAACTTTTCTTCTTGACTATATGTAGATATACCTTATGAACAAATTTAAGAAAAACGTTAAAATATCGCCGTTTTCTGAACTAGATTTTAAACTTTTTCTGTCGGACCCTGTACTTCCCGACCTGATAGCGCTTAGGAAACATTAATACTGTTTTTAGGACATACGAGGGTGGTCCCAGAAGTACCCGACCCAGCGAAGAAAAAACAAATTTTTTGTAAAAAAATGTATTTATTCTTCAACATAATCTCCTTTGAGCTCTATACACTTTTCCCAGCGATGTTCAATAAGTTCGATACCCTTTTTATGATAAGAACTGTCTTGCTCCTCAGAATAGACATTAACTGCCGACATCACTTCTTCATCGTTGGAAAATCTTTGACTACTGAGCCATTTTTTCAAGTTTGGAAACAGAAAATAATCCGAGGGGGCTAAATCTGGTGAATAGGGTGCATGAGGTAGCAATTCAAACTTTAATTCGTTAATTTTGGCCATTGCAATAACGGATTTGTGAGCTGGTGCATTGTCTTGATGAAACAACTCTTTCTTCGTAAAAAATGCGGCCGTTTTTGCTTGATTTCATCCCTCAAACCTTGCCTGCAGATGAAACGGTCTTCGCCTCCTTTGGAGCCGGTTCTCCCTTTTGAGTCCATTGTTTTGATTGTTCTTTTGTATGAAGTGATGGACCCATGTTTCATCCATGGTTATCAAACGACGCAAAACTTCTGCTTTGTTGCTGTGAAACTTCGCTAAACACTGAGTTGAGTCATCTCATGACGCTGTTTTGGCTCGATTGTGAGCAATCGCGGCACCCATCTGGCACACAGCTTTCTCATGTCCAAATTTTTAGATAATACGCGATGAACCGCACTTTTTGAAATGCCTACTATGCTAGGTCGCGCACTTTCAGTCGACGATCATTCAGTACCGCTTTGTGAATTTTCTTCACCATTTCTGGAGTCGTCACCTGATTTGGTCGACCACTGCGATGCTCGTCTTGGCAACTCATACGGCCTCGTTTAAACTCTGCTACCCAATATTTTACTGTTGTAAACGAATGAGCAGACTCACCCAGAGTAGAATCCAGTTCAGCTTTTATATTGGTTGGGCTGAGGCCTTTGAAATAAAAGTATTGTACCACATAACGATGACCAATTTTCTCCATTTTCACAAATTCACTGAGTATTGATGGCTGCCAAACAAATACTAAACATCGTGGCGTCTTCAAACTTGACACATATGCTTTATAGGTTGCATACTTTCTAATACAATGATATTTTTCAAAAAACTATCGCTATCTAGGTCAGGCCGGGTACTTCTGGGACCACCCTCGTAAAATAACGACAGTAATATTTTTCGGAAGTTTGGAAATGATCTTGTTATTGTCAATTTCTGTTACGTATGAATTGAGGACAAAGAATGAGTTACACTTCTGCTTTCGAAGAATGGACAATGATTCATGACTCTATTTCATAAATTGATAAACATCTTACTCGTATGCGGATACGTTTACATACTACACAGTACATGAAACGGACCACCTACTTTGAAATGACGGGGGCTACCCTGTATGCATCACGTAACATAATATCTAGCATCACTTACCGCTCTGAGTTCCCTTTGTGAGAAAATGTGTGTCAGTTGCCGTCTTAAGGGCACCATAAGGATGAGGAAGAACGGAAAGGCCAGTGACGCCTTTGTCGATTTCACGATCCACAAAATCACCAGGCAGATCAGCTGAATGAACGTGAACAGATGCATTTTTACGGTTTTCACCTGCAACAAAATTAAATTATTTATAAACATCCGAATGGAATTTGATACAGGCCTACCTCATACTATACTATGCATGAGAAAATACGCTATGTGCACTCTTGGCAACTTGATACTGAAGAGAATATTAAAGTATGATCATGAAACATTAGGTAGTTATAAGACGCAACACGTAACAAAACGGAGAAAAGTTGTGGAGCCGCTAGAGCTACGAATTTTTATAAAAATTAGTGTTTTTGGCCGTAAATGATAATAATGCAAGGTTTAGCTGATTACCTACATAATAATGCATAATAATTTGTTAGTTTGATTATCGGTGGTATTTAAGAGAAAAAGAATATAGTCTGTGTACACCTGAGATTTTGAGGTCGTTTTTCGTATGTGCCGCATTTCGAAATTGATCAGTCAGATGCAAATACTCGTAGAACTTGGTTTGTTTACGCGCTAAAGAAAAAATGATACTTGCCAACTTTGAAAATTTTGTTTATAAAGCTCTAAAAAAATGTCTGATTACACGCTTAAAATGATTAGAAACTTGAATACCGGCGAAAAGGAGATTTTGTATTCTATTTTTTTTTATGTCTTTTCGATCATACACCACCATCGTTTTTAAAAATGAACACACAGCACATCGCACATACAAAAATAATATCAAGTAGATTGACGGTACTTTCCATATACTCCCCATATATACAAATTGAAAAGCCACGATACACGAAAAAAAAAATCTAAATACTGACCCCTGTAAATTTAAAATGTTCAATTACACCCTCAAATAATCAAAATGACAAAAGTGGAATAATTTTGGATTTAAAAAAAAAATGTTGACCCTGGAAACATTTGTAATAAGATTTTAAAATATGCAATAACGAAGTTTGGGGACGACCTGGACTTTTTTATTTTATAACGCATTAGTATACCCTCCCCGAGTTTCATCGCAATCGGAATAATAAGATAAAAAAAACTGTTAACAAACGAGGGTGCGTGCAGCAAAGTATAAAAAAACTAAGAAAAAGACCCCATGGTGAGAACTAATTCATAATTCATGCGTAAATAGTTGAAGTAGGTGTATACGTATCAAAACCAGTGTAATTTCACTGAGAAAATGAATCGGTCTGGCATCTTCCAATTATCTGATTGTGTGATAGATTCTCACATATGAATAATGGAAACCTCATTTCACGGCGTCACGTGTGGATGTAAATTGTGGAATGTGGATTTAAAAGTCCATACAATATTGTACTGCTCTCAAGAAAATAGCTGTTGGGTTCATATAATAAAATTAATTGTTAGAAAACATGCTATATATTAATAATATGCATGATCTGAATATCATTGAAGATCATATCGAAGCTGGGGAGGCATTCTTGTGTTAAGAATCGTGAATTACAAAATACAATAGAGCAACACTGAAATAGTTATTATGGGATCACTGCACACAAGATACAAAATGTTTCTTACGACCGAATGTGAGCTAAGTCAAAAAAATATAGTAGGTAGCCTTTAGCCTAAAGGCTTTAGGTGGACATCAAAAATAAATTCACCCTACAGTAACACTGAGTGTGGGTGGTCGCAGTCATTGCACGCAATAAATAAATACAGACAGTCATCCTGGTAAATCAATTCAATTTAAAAATAATGGTTGGTAAAGTTATTCCACCGCCCTAGGGGTTAAAAAAGCCCGGAAGCTGAGTCTTGAAACGAGGAAAACCTTCTGATAAAATGTATTTTACGGCCCGGTCGTAGATGCAGAAAGTTTATAACAAAATCAATACTCGAAGGGACCTTCTAGTTCAATAGTTTTTTTTATATACTGAAGCAGCCGCGCAGGCAAAAGCCTAAATGCCAGGACGACGCGGCTGCTATGAGGCTCCCAAAGAAATTTTGTTAATCCGATTTTTGAACTACTTAAGGTTAGTAGAACTGGAAAAGCTTCCTCTTGCAGATTGTTCCACAAATCACGACACCCTCGGCTCAAGTATGTACCTAGTATGAAAATATATTGGTTTTCATACAGGAAAACTTTTTAATGTTTTCTTTTTCTTCGTAAAAGAAGGAGGAAACGTTTTTAGAGTAAACATTTTATTAGAATCAATGACATTTATTATATAAAGGAACGTTTTTATTTTCCGACAATTGATCTATTCTTATTTATATGAATGAGCAATTAAAGATAATGCAAGGAATAAAACAAATCTGAGTAAACTTTTCATTTTCAAGTCCTCGTACCCCAGAGTGTTACAGTCAACGGACAGCGTAATTTCCAACATAGTCCATTAAATTTAAGGGCATTCAATGAATCATCACCCGAACTCCACCCTCCTCCACCCTGTATCCCTGCGATGTACAGTTTAAAGACCGCGATTTGGCAACCTCGAAGAAACGCCTGCGTAAACCAAAATCGGCCTAAGCCGAGGATATATCGACGATTCACTTGGTCCGCTGTATACACACTCTACGGAGGTCGGAGGATCGCCAACGTTGCCAATAGTTTATTATATTTTTTCCACATGGTCCCAAAATATGTATGGATTTATTTGAAATAGTAGTATTTTTGGTTAGCGCTCTCTAAGAATATTAATGACTTTTAACAGAATCAAGGAAGCATACAATCGTCATAAATAAGGTGAATAATTTTAAAAGTTTATCTGAATTGCAGCGATATATCTAATTTTTATCCCATTAGGCACCGGCTACTGAGGTTGCTGATCAAACTATCGTCAATAGTAGGTATTATATGTAGATGAGTAACACACAGGTGTATTAAGACGAGGTTATGAAGAATTTCAATTTCACACCGACAATTCTCTTTTCTACTTCTTTGTGAATGGGAACACAGTTATTAAAAAGGTGCATTAATTATTGTAGGGCTAGCCTCCCTTATCAGAGGGTTGCAATAGCGGTCTGCTCTTGTATATGCATTATTTGCTAGTTCATCGATAAACTCACTGAGAGGAGGAATATTGAGATCTGAATGTAGCGTGAGCTGTACGGTTCTTCGCTCTGATGTGATGTGACATCTGCTTCAGAGATGGCAATAGTGAAACCCATATATAGCTTCTTTGGCTCAAACTGTAAATTCTAAACTATAGGTCGTTGTACCATTCATCCATGACTGGCGTGTTTGCGCGTGGCGTGGACTAACGACTAGCTAGTACTCAAGTTGACATTATATCGATTTTTTTCGTAATACCATTGATTGTGCTGGCATATTTACATCCGTTGCTCAGCAACGAATAAATACGGCAGGTTCACGTGGCCGATGAGCATAGGGGCCAATTTAAAGATAATTGGTAAAGAAGTCCTTGGGCGGAGAAGTCGGACTTGAAGCTCGGAAAACATAATCATAAAGTACATTTCACCGCCCAGCCACACATAAAAATATAAAGAAAAACGTTGTACATAGACACAAAAATGCAAGTTGGTATCAGTACGAATGTCAGTAGATATAGCTACTAATTCGATAATCTGGCAATGCCGTCAACTACCACCAGCGACTGGCAGAAAGAACTATAGCACGGGCGATATATATCAAAATTGCGTGAAGCCACCCAATCAACGTACCTTCAAAGTAGGTCAGTGAGGTCAATGATTAACTGGTAATTATAAAGTCATCGGCCAGCCACAAACCTACTCATGCAATCTATTTGTTTTGATTATTATTGTTTTCATCAAGTTTGATTTTTATACGTGGAAAAGCGGTGTAAGTTGAGACTGTTCGTCTAATACGAATGACATACCAATTAAATTATTACGTCTATTGTTTTTTTTTTGGAATTCTATAATAGTTTAGATGTACAATCCATTTAGAAGTAATTGATAAACAGATATCACGGAACAAGATAGATAGGTACAAGGTGGGTGCCGGTTTTAAAATAAACTTTTCCTACGCAGCCGAGAAAAAATAATCAAATTTACTATTCCTTTATATTTATTTTTTTTGACGTAATCTTCGTCTCAAACCATTTATTTGTTAAACGAATCACGTTGAGCGTGGAGCATTTTGTTAGCATTCAGGTCGAAGGAAGGAAGTGTCACAGATAATAGTATATTGCGCTGCATACAACAATTTCATTTTTTTTCTGGCTCAATAACTGTTATGATGGTCAGCAAGTTTCAATTTAACTGCGCGTCATCTGTCAGTGCATATGATAGTTCGATGAAGTGCAACATATTGTCGAACATGTCCCAGAAATGCACAAAGAGACTGAGACGCGCAAAATGTGCCACAGCTCGATGAAAACAGTGCGCAACATGTTGTTGTACTTTGAGAGCTGATAGAGGATACTAACTACTCGATGAACAATGACCACATTTAGGAGATATTTCATTATATCGTCGATTATACTCTCGCACCAAAAAGTGGAGAGAGTAGCATAACACATCCTACGCTATTGCTAACTTGACGTGCCTTTGAATCAAGCAAAGTCGAATCGGATGGCGCCGAATTCAAAGACATGTCACGTTGACAGCGTGTTTTGCTACTATCTACCGTGTATGTATCAGGCTATAACGTCTTCTACCTGAAAATATCCAACTATATACCGGCGCCTAAAAAGGGGAACAAAATGAAAAAATCGACTTTGAAAAGAGTTTGGTTCTGCTAATGTCTCATAGATGGCGGTAGGATCCTCAATCCCGTTTGGCACCTCTCTAATGTTTATTTTAATCGGGTATTTTCAGGTGGAATTCATTAATCAGTGGCTGTGGCGACTGTCGAAATATTGTTGATCAAGAATATGATGGAACTCGCGTATACCAATAGCGTGATATGCAACAGTGGAACGTTCCATGGCCACAAGAAACCTAGCACTCTGTCGTGACTTGTCTATTTTCCTGTGCATTATTCACATATTTCTGAGAATTGATGGACCACCCTGTGTTAGGCCACATGGAGTTTATGCACTCGCTATAAGTGTAAACGTTGTAAACAATATCCGTCGATCTTCTAAGAAGTTAATGCTAATGGAATTTTTGAAAGCAAGTCGTCTATTAGCGATTACCTTAATGACAGTGAGCCTCTAATTACATATTTTCTACCTGGCACATTGCCGACGGTTATTTGACTTCAGTTAGTTTATGTTTGTAGGTGTATAGTAGAACTGTCGTGTGGTTAGAAAAAAAAGTGTAACTCAGTTTCATTCCAAAATGCCGATTGCAGACGAAGTGGATATGATAAAGTCGATATCAGGATCTTATATGCTTAGTACTCTGAGCTCAAACAGGTTGGTGAATCCTACTTCCACCATATTTCAAAATTACCATTTATAGCGAGTTGTTTGATTATAGGTCCAGCAAATTCAAACATTTGAGGATCGGGTAAATAAGGTATTCATATAGGTTCATTAAAAACACCTTTTCATCAAAGTATAAATATCTCCTCCATTAAGTTGGAGTGCTCTTTAGGTCTGCACAAATTGCAATTGATATTTGTGTATCACGGGTGGAAAGTACTATTTTGTCGCTTGAGAAATACGACTATTCCTTGTTTTGATTACGGTCCAGGTTTATGCTCACTTCTTCAAGTTGTAAAATTGGTAAGAAAACAATAGGCATTCATAATATTACTGATATTATGTCACCTAGTGATAACATAGAGGCATTCCGTCGACAGTCCGTCTGCAACCAGCAAGGAGTTTTTGTCAAACTTGCTTGCTTTAGAGTGGAAAAGCTGTGTGATCGGCTGTTGGAAAACGTTAACTTCCCAAATACGATTAATTTGTTTTATTTGCTACAGCAAAACATAATAATGCATTTCTGAATCCTGACCCTGTTTTTCGTTCAGCAAAAACGTCCATTGCAGAATCTACATTGAGTTAATTCGCAGTGGATCTTGTGATGCAAATTAATGGATTTTATTACTGATATTTGTATGAAGAAATATTGTCTGGAAATCGCCATTTTTTTCATCCCCTATGCAATAACGCATTGATTTTATGCTATAAAATGCCTCATTTTTCTGTTGTTTCATTATGCCTATTTTTTGAGGATTCAAGACATTGAAAAAAGTATTCAAACTTAAAATATAATATATAATAATAATACACTGTCACAGGCCCATCTTTAAATGGACGTTGCATATTTAGAAATGATGAATACCTTAAATTTTACTCACAACATTTTGTAGCACCTTCTATAACTGCAATACAGTGCTGGCAGGTATAACTGTTGAATCACAGTACTGGTTGAAAGTTGATTTATCATATGTGATTATCCAGGTACAAAGCATTTCTTTTGAAGGGTATTTCCAAAATTCCAATCCTTCTACCTGTTGGACCTTTAGTTATAATACCTTTGTCAGATTTTATTATCAGCCTGTGTATAGGCTGGTAAAAGTAGGGTTGCAAAAACTAGTCCTATGATTGTTACTGATATTTGTAGGAAATGTATCCCAATTCTTTCATCTCCTATGCAATGCATTGATTGTGTGCCGTAAAATATATCTTAAATTATGTTGTTTCACTTGGAGCGTTCAGCGGTGCAGCGCTTTTATGCTGAATTGTAGTAGTTTGCAACATTAATCAACATACTATCAAACCTGACAGCCAAATGAAAACTGGTGTCAAGCTGACAAACTTATCCCATGGATACTGCTATTTAGCAGAAACGCGCTGTGCTGCTGAACATTTTTACGTTGGCAGAACGCTCCAATCATCTCTGGCTTTTAGTTGTTTAAATAAGATCATATATTAATAAATCAGTTGACATTATTATTTGACTAGGTGTTTTTTATTTTCATTATTTGCCTACTGAGCGAAATGTTACTTCTCAATAAGGCATTGCGGTCATTAATGGCGATTTCATGAGTTTGTTATCAGCTCTCATTTGAATAGAATTCTCAACATCTCGGTAACAAATACTAAAACGTCAACTTTACAAGCACTACTAATCTAATAGCCCAAATTGAAGACACTGACACTGACAAAAATGAAATAAACACGAATCTGCTACTGCAGGGGCTTGATTTGATTTATAGAATTCATATGTAAAGTTCAGAAGTATCTAAGTATCAAGAGGCATGACGAGAAACATTGTAGCACATCATGTTGCACAGAGTATGTAATGGCATAGAAAATATGAAGTTTTAATTAATTTGGGGGTTGATGAATAATAATATGCCCATAACTTGTAATAACTAAAACGGGGCATAACATACTGTCCATAAATGAAAGAATAATAGGAATAACAACTACGCCACGGGGAACCGAATATAAAACATAACCTATACTTATCCATGAAATGAAACATGATCTGCCTTCTGGGCTGTAATTTTACATATGAATATATATATGACTAATTAATTCTAAAAAACATAGTTCTGACCTTGCGAACGCCCTGTAATGGACTACACTGTAACCATCTAGAAAATATATACAGCTTGCTGTAGTTCTTCAAAATTAATTTTTATTTGATACTAAATGAACATCCATGATAAAAAGGGTAGTCAAGGAGTACCTCTTTAAAAATACAAAAACTCGACTGCAGTATCTGGAAAGGATGAATTTTTAATGGTGCTACCAAGGAGGCCTCAAAAATCAAAATCTATATAGCAGTTTGGTCTGTAGTCCATGAAATAAAAATTTCAAGTTTAAAATCCGCCACTTTGATTTTACAAAATTTTGGCGTACCCAGTGTCACTTTCACTGTCAAGACAAATCGAGAGACACATCGCATATCAAAATCCATCTAGTCATTTAAGCTCTAGCGAGTGAAATATAAATTTCAGATTTGAAATTTTCAATTTAAAACCGCCATTTTGATTTTATATATTTTATTACACAGTCTCGCTCGCACAGTCAAGACAAATGAAGACATTCATTATATGTCAAAATCCATTAAGCCGTTTGGTCTGTCTGATTTTTTTGGATACATAGTTACACATATACCACGCACCAAAAGAATAACCCTCCGTCCGAGTCCGGTTAGTTCCAAGTCAGGTGAATTTTAGCATGTATCTCCCGTACTATACCGCTCCACCCCACGCAACTCACGAAGCCTGATTAGTCAAGTTGGCGGCGGAGAGGGGCAATCGACAAGTTTCGCCATCTGGATAGCGCCAGTGAACGAGCGACGGCAAGCACAATAACGAATCTTATTCAAAGTGTACCCACCGAAACCGTGCATATTGTAAAAACGTTTTCGCATCTACCATGAAGTAAACATTCTATTTATGGTATTTTCGCCAGCCAGGCATCGATCGGCCTCAATTTTGATTCATGAAGTGCTTCTGAACCGCTGAACGTCGGGCGTGGCTGACCAGATAAACATTACTCATCGCCGGTAAAGTGACAGTTGGATGTGATAAACACCGCGGCCTGCTCAGTGATAATGTTTGTTTAAACACGTCGAAGGCCCCTCGATACCACTATGAGTGCCAATAATGTTAATGCCGCTCAGGTCCCAACGACACAGGCCACGGCTACCATCAAGTCCCGGCCAAACATTATGCCTAGTAGTTATTTGTACACGTCCAGCAGTGCTCTGTTGAATCGAAATCCTGAAAATAAGCCTACACCACCCCCTACACTACCCAAATACACATCAAGCTTCAATGCAGGCAGTGGACTTAACAGAGACAGGTACGGAAGGAGACAGAGTCCCAATCAACCATGAAAATCTACATTCCAAACAATGGTCGTCTCGGTTTTAATCTTTGTTCTCGTATCTTAACCAGACGACAGATAAATACGTGATTGGAAATAAATACATTGAGATAAAAGTTATCGAGTCTAATGGATTGCCTTTAGTTTTCTTTTGAAACATTATCTACAGTAAATGAGGCAGCTTTTTTTCTATAAATTAAGTAGCTCAAATAGAAATATATGGTCAATTTTCTAAATGGTAAACAAAGGCACCCTAAAGAGATTATTCATACATTCATTCATCTAATCACAAACTGAAATATTTATCCAATAATGGAAAACAAAAATGGCACACATTCATACCACATGAGGCCCCCTAATAATTGGGGCACTTCGGAACTACTATGTTTTGTCATAAAATGAGTTTATGAAGTATTAACATTATTTTGATGAGCAAAGGTGGAAATTATGTTTTGAATATTGTTTACAACACCCTGTGAGAATTTTAAAATAATATGGATGTCATACTAGAGTTTTGTAATTTCAAAAATATGACAAGGTCTGAAAAGTTGGTTAGGAAATGATTATGGAAAGTGGCATAGTCATGACGTCCTCCATCTCATTTCAAAAATATACCCTCAACCATTTTTTACCCAGAGAACTGATTTAATGATAAATATAACAAAATGCAAAAGTTCTCATCATTTTCCATGTCCATATTGTAAGTAGGTATTTTATGATTATATGAACATTGACCTTACAGTTGAGAATATTTTCAGTAGGTAGTTAAAAACTGCTATATTAAAAATGATGAATTGTTGCTTCATGGACTGCAAAATACAAAACATAAATATTTACATTGATTATGAAATTCTTAAGTTGAGTATAATTTTCTTGTTTAGTCAGTACTTATCAGTTGCTGGTGTTGTAGGTACTTGTGAATAAACAAATTGAGGATTTCTTTACCAAAATATCTGCTTAAATTTTGTGAAATTGAAAACAACTATTTATGTCTTAGGGTGCCTTCTATTTTGTTATCTAAGGTCTTTTCATAAAATATCTGTTTAATGTCAATGTTAAATGTTTCTCACAGACTGGGAATTTTCTACCCATATAATAGTATTATTCTTCTATTGTTTTACTCATATTTGGAGTTATTTTCTTTGAATATGAACAAAAAGTGACATTCCACATTTTGTATCTGTATTTTCCAATTTATGATTCTCGCAAGCATTCTGTAAAGTAAGGCAGGAAAAACCTCACTCAGATGATGCTATTACTTCAAGTCTTTATATGATTTTTTTTTATTTGATCTTTCACAATACAAGCTTTCTAATATTCAAATCAAATGACCAGAGACAAGTTTTTTTGCATTATATTTGTTGCAGGGACAAGGATAGCATTGGCGGATCCTACAGGCTATCTAGTCTGGACCGATTGGCTATGAGACAAAAATTCATGGACCAACAAAATGTGACCTCCAATGGCGCTCCTCAAACTAATGGTAGCACTGAACCCAGTTCAATCTCAACGACACCAACATCAGGCCTTCAGAGCAAACGAGAGATGTTCTTTACCTCCTCAGATACTGCAAATGCTCTGAATAAGGACTCTAACAGGTTGAATAAGACACCATCTATGGAAAAACCTCCTCCAGAACCACCAGTAAAGCCTATTTCTCCAGATTCTACAAAGGAAGAGAATAGTAAAGAATCAACACCTGAGATTATCAAAGAAAGGCCTAAGGTGAAAGAGTTAGATGGTTATGTTGGATTTGCGAATTTACCCAATCAAGTGTATAGAAAAGCTGTTAAGAAAGGATTCGAGTTTACCCTGATGGTGGTGGGTGAACAAGGTCTTGGAAAATCAACACTCATCAACTCATTGTTCCTGACAGACATCTACCATCCAACAGAATACCCTGGTCCAACACAACGGGTGAAGAAAACTATGGCAGTAGAGACCACGAGAGTTATGCTCAAGGAGAATGGTGTAAACTTACTTCTGACGATAGTGGACACACCTGGCTTTGGAGATGCAGTAGATAACAGCAATTGTTGGAGTCCAATCATTGAGTTTATAGAGAGTAAATATGAGGACTACCTAAACTCAGAAGCTCGTGTTTCGCGTAAAACCTCCCCGGACCAAAGAGTGCATTGTTGTTTGTACTTCATCCAACCATCTGGCCATGGACTGAAAAACTTGGACATTGAGTTTATGAAACGGCTGTGTGATAAGGTGAACATTGTGCCCGTGATCGCGAAAGCTGACACATTGACCGCCGAGGAGTGTGCTGCGTTCAAAAAGCAAATTTTGACGGAAATCGCTGCGAATAAGATCAAGATCTACGACTTTCCGGATACGTCCCAGGATGATGAGGAACACAAATTGAATAAGTCACTGAAGGACAGAGTGCCATTTGCTGTTGTGGGCTCCAATGCAGTCATCGAAGTTGATGGCAAAAAGGTGAGCTTTTTTTAAGTAAACAATGTTCAATTATTTCCAAGATAAATTGTGTTGGAGACTTTATGGTAATGTTTCACATATTTCCAGTTTTATGACACCAAGGATGTTATATCTAACCCTTGATTGAGAACCAAATATATAAAAAATTCCTAAAACAATAGATTCTCAACAAAACATGTAGAAAAATATCAGATCAAATTTTGAAACATTTCATAAATCAGTCAGCACTTTACAAAGTGCGCAGACAGGGAGTGTGACCTTGAGTTTGATGCTTTCTGGCTGGACATTTTCAATTTCATTGATACATGTAATATCGACGATGACAAAACTCTATATATATATATATGTATTTTGCCTAAATGAATTACACAATGATTTAGAATAATAGTAATCTGACTCCAATTTAAACAATGGCAACAGGTTTTTGTATTTGATTTTAAGCTTTAACAAGCATATGAGCATAACTTGTCAGGGTAATTGAAATTCCAAAATATATATACATACCTAATATATAGCCAGCCTCCACGAAGGCCCAAGGCCTAATCACCCATGGGGCTATAGGGGATACAGGGAGACCCTTCAGGTGGTATCCCCACATACAACAGTCAGATACAATCTACCACCTACAATACTGTACATATTTACCTCTCACCAAACTGATTTTGGCACTCGACATGTTAAAGTTATGTTAGTATTTTCAGGGCATGATTACAAAAAATATGTCAATTGAGTTTTAAATAACTTGCATTATATTTACTTTGAATTTGCAGCACTTTTTCATACATCCTGTATATCAGATAAGTAACAGCATTTACAGTGCAAGTGTGGGTGAGCAATCACCTAGAAAGTTTTACTGAAATCTGTCTCACTTAATTATATATTTGGAGTAAATCCATGATTATCTGACCCATTTAATGTTAGCTTGATGTGTGATTTTATGATGTTCATTAACAAATTACTTAATTACCCATTTATTTCATAGAATTAGTTAATTGCTGTAAAAGTGGGGCCCATGCAGCTGCTCATATACATATATCAGAATCAAAATGATTATATCAACACTGTGATTGTGAGTGAGTTGTCAGTAAATAAGTTACATGTCAGTATTGCTGGAATGTTTCAAGTTATTTTATTTTTGTTAAACATATTAGCAGCATAGTTTTGTACCTGATAAGATAAGCCTCAAGATATTTTCATACAAGTCAATTTTGTTTACAAAGATCTTCAATTTAATGTCCCAGTCAAATTTTGCTAACTACTTTAAACAGAGCAGCAGTTGTGCATTTGTTTTAAAAATGCTTCATTTTCATTTTTAAATATAATGTTTGCTAATCTCAGAGCATATACCTCATAATTATTTAATAATCATAGTGAATAGTGATTATTAACAAACCTGAACTCTTGGAAAAAAAAATCATAGAACAAAAGTGTAATAAGCTATTAAATCAACTTTATCACGTAGAAAGATATGTTAGGATTAAACTTACCATGCGCAGCTAGGGAAAAAGATAAAAACAATGGAAAAGAATAAAAGTGTTAAACAAAAATCCAATACCCTCAACTTTGTATTATGATATCCATATATAGTATGTATGCCCACAATGATGCTGGGTTGTGTTAGAATATCTCAACCACGAGCTATTCCTCTTGTACCAGGTATATCATTCTATGCAGTGTAAAGTGAACAAAGAAAATTATAACAATATATAGTGCAACTATTTCGGGACCAGTCAATTTCTAATACAAACAGAGAGATAGAGCATGAATCATGCTTCAAAACAAAAGCATAATCTTGTCGCGTCGTTGAGAAGTCCTCGAGACATTTCCTTTTATACAGATGCGTGATGCTTTGGAATCGCTAATTTCATTGTATTCGCTGAACGTAATTTATTACAATTCGGATGATTTATCGAGGTATCCGATAATAACCTTTAATTTAAAAACGTCAGTAATACCAAATGATGTGGTTTATGCTCTGCAGAGTTCAAGAGTCAGTCTTTCACTTATTCTGTTGAGACATCAACATACTCTACAATTGGTCCCCATGATGATATACAGCAAGGATGATTTATAGGCGTTATTTTCTAAATTATAGAAAACAAAAATAGGAGTTGATAATTCAAAAACCCCCATTGTTGAAAGAAACACGACCTGTACCAACCTCATTAAAAGATAATTACAAGCAATAAAATACAGATATAATTGTTGTAGCCTCAAATGAGTTATTAAAGAATTTTAGTAGGCTTATAACTCTAGGTAGAACACCTGCATATCTGTTGTTTGGTCCAAGAAATGCTTATTGACTAGCTGACTTGGATGCCAGATGCCACATAATATTTGCAAAAAACTGGCGATACGAGAGCTATTTTCGCACAATGTATACATGTATTTCTGAAGATAAAATCATCAAAAAAATTGCTAGTGAGAAAAAAAGTTATGTACAGTAAGGCCACAATCATCTGTCAAAACAACAGGAAAGTCTGAAAAGTTTGATACTAAGGCCATTATATTCATATAACTCTTTTGACTGAACTACCTCCACAATTGATCAACCCACCAGAATAACTTTTTTAAAAAAAGGTATTTTTACATTTTCATTAAAAAATGCATTAGGAATGCAAATTAATTTCACAATTTTATATAAAGTAAGTGTTCCATAAGTGTTTACAGCAAGTTTTTGAAGGTAAAATAAATCTTGTCAATCGAGTTTGTTCTACACGATAATTAAAAACATATTTGTTGAACAAAGAACAATAATGACACTTTGACTGCTTGATGATAAAATCAATGCGTTTTATTCTTTTGTTAGCAAAATCCACATGAGAATTATTCTAATGCAACATTTCATGGAAAACTAATTGAAACGGCCAACTTCGACACTCTGTAGTAACAAAAAATGGGATAGTATTAACGCACGGGCCAAATATTCTCAGACGTTGGTTATTTAATGCCATTCTTGCAAAGCTACTATTTTTCAACTAATTTCCTTTTTACAGCAATTTTGAGTTCGTCAAGTTTCTGACATACCAAAAAGCTGCTGCTCTGATCCTTTCATTGATATTGATAAAGTTCTATGTAATAGAAATTAAAATAAGTTAGAGTTAATTTTAACAGATGTCTTATACGATCGAGAACCTAACATTTATCCCGGTCTGCCTGTCTGACCCCATGTTGAATAATTTTTTCCGCATGCCACTTTACATTATATTTACTCTTACACTGATTAAACTGAATCCGTCTGTGGTTTTGTTTCAGCTGCGCGGAAGGAAATACCCCTGGGGCATTGCAGAGGTGGAAAACCTCGAGCACTGCGACTTTATCGCATTGCGCAACATGGTGATCCGGACGCATCTCCAGGACCTCAAGGATGTCACCAATAACGTCCATTATGAGAACTACAGGTGTCGGAAGCTGGCAGGTTTGGGCACGGACGGAAAACCCACCAGGATATCCAACAAGAACCCTCTGGCGCAAATGGACGAGGAGAAACGGGAGCATGATTTGAAGATGAAGAAGATGGAGACGGAAATGGAACAGGTGAGCGGGTTATTACTCTTTTCTGTATTTTTCGACTATTCAGTCCATTAAAGCAATAATAGTGACTCAAAGTTACCAGCTCAGTTTAGAGTTAATTATTTACTATCCTTATCTTGTAATATGTGTATGTGACAACTTCAGATCGCAACTGCTTATTTCTAATTGCGATTTCTTAGCTCGGATCAAGATTTTTGCAAAATTCATACTGCTTACTACCCTATTCAACCCTTTCTGCTTCATGGACAGCTTGCACAGTAGTAATGTTCACACATCAGAATCAATTATCAATGATAAAAGCACTGAACCTATATACATGTCTGTTGCGCCGCCAAGCAGCATTATTAGTTCTTTATACTCATATTTATCCCATCACATTTTATTGTAAAGGTATACCAGAATAATAGGAGCCTGTAACCCTCAAACTTTGCTAGCGAAATTCAGTTTGCAGTAGTTTAAGAAAATACTCCATTCCTCCATAGGTGGCGCTAACTAAATAGCGTAGTACCTAATGCGAATCGTAACTGCCAAACTGCGATTTCTTAGTAATATTACCTTATACTGTGTTCTGGTTATTCAATGAATACTCTCCAAAAATAACTGAAGAGTTTTATTAATATGCACAAATCCGGCTTGAACGTGTCAGAAAATACATCTAGAATAAGGATTTTCTGCAAAGTCCTGCTGTGTAAGTGTAATGGTTGATTTTCACGTTAATGTTGATGATGTTTAATCTCGTTAATTTCAGTGTTCCGTGATTTAACCGCTCATTAGAAGACCCTAGATTTTCCTAAACGAGCTTGTTATTTTATGTAATTAGATTCCATTTATCCTTGGAAAGCGATCTCTCTGAAAAGCAGTTAGACCCCTTTAGGTTTCGTTATATTTTAATTGATATTGAAACAAAGTTAACATTCTTGCCACTTAATTTATATGTCTGTAAGATATGAACTAAATATTTGCCACATTGGACGTTTTCAAATATAAGGATCAGCGCAAATAAAAAGAAGTTATAGTAAAAATAATGTACAAATCATCTTGGTTCATTGAACAATTGCTTTCGAATCATACCATATCGCATATGGGAAAATAAGGCAATATTCTAAATTATTACTTTTGTGGAAGGTGTTCGAGATGAAAGTGCGTGAAAAAAAGCAGAAACTGAAAGACAGCGAAGCAGAATTGACGCGAAGACACGAAGCAACCAAAAAGACCCTAGAACAACAGGCAAAGGAGCTTGAAGAGAAACGTAGACAGTTCGAAATGGAGAAAGAAGCATGGGAAAAAGAGAACCAGGTCAGTAAAGATATAGTGTATATTCTTGCCCATTTTTCAAAACGCGAAAAAGAAATAACAGCTGATCATTTAGTGAAATTCAAAATATCCCACATATCGAGAAACAAGACACATTCCTCGTGGTGTATCGTACTTCCTAGCGGCGCCGTCGCTTTTGTGCGAGTTGTTTTGCATAAAGTAATTGGGAAAGTTTTCATCTACAATTAGAACAAACCAATCGATATAGTAGCTAATAATAGTGACTGCATTTCAGGTCATCTAAAAATTAAACAACATTTAAACACTATTTGTTAATAATAGTTCTGATACTCAGTTCACAAATTCATTATTACTAACAATACAAAATTAACACAAGGAACAATCAAATGTCAGAGTGAGGTGAGATATCGTGGGAAATAGTGTACCACTATTTTAAATTATTAAGATAATATAATAATTAAATTTTGTTTTATAATTTTTTAACGGTTTGAATCAAACATTGTTAAATTGGGACTTAGTTTATATAATAATCGATATTGGCTTTACTTGACCCGAGGTTAACTGCTTTTTTATTACATAAACATAGTTGCGTAACATTTTTATGGGGCAAAGTAATTCGTCTCATAAAGGTTTAGATTGCAAAGAGGAAATTACTAATGATAACCCAGATTGCCGTTAATCTAACCTCATTAAATATTCAAAACTAAATCGATTTTATTTTGTAGCATCTTGAATATATCTATTAATTTAGTTATGTTGTTGGAGTATTAATGTTTGAATAAATTCTGTGGTGGAAGTCTATAAAATAACTTAGATCGCATCTTCTGTAAGAGTGACTGGTATTTTTTGGTATTTTCTGATTATATTTTTATTTCAGGTCACTGTGGAAGAACTGAGACGAAGATCTTTAGAAGGCAGCAGGGAAACAATGGATGGGAAGAAAGAAAAGAAAAAGAAGGGACTGTTTTAGTCAAGTGAATGATGGTGAGGTTCCAAACTCAAAACATTTTTTTATTTATGTATTTATGCTTGATGGAGTTCAGTGTGTTTTTACCTTGGTATATAGAGAAAACGAGATCTTACGTGCTTCGGTCACTATAGAATTTCCTTTACTTTCTGTCAACCCTTTGGTTTTGAGAAGATTTGATGTAGTTACCTGTAGAACCGCATTTTTGCGCTCTTCTCATGTATCAACGTATTGCAATTGAGCTTAGTGACTGGAAAAGCAGAATATACCTGTTAAATGTCCTTTAGTGTAGCATTGCAATTATGTTTAAATAAAATGTTGACTATGTTATATTTGCTCACGTTTTTTAAACGACCAATTATCAGGTGACTTTACTAAGCAAAAAAATTGTTGGAACTAAATTCAACCGCCTAAAGTCACTTTTACCAATCGTAAAATTCATGATAAGTCAGAAAATAAAATGTTTCTAAAATTATTCAAATATTTTTTTTTAATTTCCAAACCGAATTATTTTCCAAATTTTCGAATTTTACAATTATTTTCCAAATTTTCAAATTCAATTTTTTCCAAATTTAAAAATTCAATTTTTGAAAAAAAAATCCAAATTCTTTTTTTTTTAAGATTATTGTATTGTCATCGGCCCTTGACCCCTGTGCAAATATTCAAGTTAATCAGACTTCTTGAAATTGGCAAAAATTAGATTGAAAGATTCCGTTACAGTATACATACAAGTCAAACTAATAAAAGCGTTTTAAAAAAAATCCATACGATAAAAATAAGAAAGGTACAGGCCAAAAATATTCCTGCCAGTCAGTTTTTTTTTTGTTCAAAAAGTACAAACAATTGATTCTTCAATCCTTTCAGTTTTACGACTTATCGCAACAGTATTGAGGGGTAAAATCGGTTAAGTATTTTGCTCATTACAAAAGTACATATTTTTCGAAATTTCATGTTAATGAAGATGCGTACAAAAAAGGCAACATACCAAGACAGGCAAAGCTGCTTATAGAAAAAGTGTGGGAGACAATGGGCATAATTTTCAAACGGTTTGCAACAGTCAAATTTATTTGACCAAGCGAAATGTCTAGCTGATGTCACTGAAATCTATGTATGAAACTGAATTGATTAAATGAAAGGTCAACAATAAAAAATTTTTTGTCGGAGCATGCCATGTATTGTCAGTATTAGAAAGCTTTCATTCGTTGCAAACTACATTAATCTCACATATTTTCGTCTTAGTAATGAATTTATCATGTCTGCATCTAAAAAGTACGTTGGTCGAATCTTTATGTGTATAATATAGTCGGGGAAGCGAAATGCTGGCCGTGACTGTAAAATTTACCTTGAACTATGAAGAGGTTATTCGCAAGGCTATTTGTCTTTATTAAAACATTTCTGATAGTAATTACACAACGCGAGCATAATAATGTTCGTTTAGCAACTATACATGGCTTTCACTCCTACACATGAATGCATCATTGTAATAATAACTATTACATACATATTGTAACATTAGGCGCTGGTTCAAGGACCATACAAGTTTACCAATCGTATTATTTATGTACATTGAGTTATAAAAATCTCGCAAATTAATTCAGCCAGCCTAATTCGATTAACATTGTTTTGCACTTAGGTCAATGACCGTTCAGCTGAAACTAAATAGACGAATTTAACGGGAATATTTTGTGTGGTGATTCCTTAATCTATTTTGTTTAAATCGAATACCATTAAAGTTTTGAGAAGCATAATTTTCATAATTTCTTGTTCTGCTTTTTTGGCCAATATCAAAAACTACAGATGTTTGGGAGTTGAAAAAAATGGAAGCTAAGGTATTTATTCAGCATTTGTAACTAAGAAAAGATTTCATGGAAGCCGAAACGTCGGTCAAGTCCTTAGGGTTTAAATTATTGGCCAGAGAAAAAATAAGACGGAACAGAGAAACAGCCACAGGCTAGGCATTAAAAGTCGCGACTTGCTGAATAGTTAGGTACCATCTTGAATATGCCATTTTGCAATGGTTTCTAATAAGAGTTGAAATTGCATTTGTTTGAAAATATAGTAGTCTAGCTTATATATTTTTGCAGAACGTTTTTTAGAAGTTTAATTCTTTTTTGGAATGAGTCCTATAGAAAATACGATGCGAATGTAGATCTTAGAGACCCTTTTTTCCAATTAGTAGATAAGTACAATATATGTATATTTTAGCTACTCTAAAGGAAGACTCTGTACATACCACTAATCTCGACTACGATCTTTTTTTTTAATGTAACCAATATTTTTAAGCAGCGCATAGCAGCGTTATATATAAACCAGTTGAAATATAATAGTGAGACTTAAACTATGCAGATATGTGTAATGAATTCCCATAAAATTAACTGCCATAGACGTGCATAAGGTATATATACATTTCGTAAAATACTTGCCTGCGTTCATATAAACAATTGAGCATGTTTACAGATATTCTGAGCCTGGTAAATTTTACAAAAATAAAGCTAGGTACTAAATGAGGAAATAGTGTAGTGTAAGAATAGAGACGGACGAGTGTCAGTTCAGACAGTATTTCAATAAACCAATATCTTTTTTTATTAATTTTATCAACTCTCCATCCAATCGAATATTCACGATATAAATTAGTAATTAGTATCAGCTTAATCCAATATTCACCTGATGTTCTTTAATTACATTACTTATAATTTACCTTGTATATATTATGTTTAACATCATTTATGATGGTGAAGCTATATAGTATATTGCTGATTTTCAATTTTTGCATTACCAGCCCCAGAATGCCTGTATCATGCTATCATTTCCAAAATAGTAAAAATCCATAATATTGAAATGAGTATTTGAGGTAATTGAAAAATGTCTATGTATACATATATGGATGGAGATTAGAATTTGATGTAAAAATATTATGAAAGATATACATAAATAAAATTCGAAAACACTTGTGAAGTATCATTTAAGTTATGTCAAAATTTCTGAAATGCTATGTATAAGGATATCATATTCGATTCAATTCCTGCGTCTGACATGACATATGACGTGACACAGTAATGTGCCATTTAAATTTTTTTTAATAAGTTTTATCAATGTATGTAACATGTGAAAATGAATTTTTTTAAATACATTTATTTTTATCACCAACCGTTTATTATTTACTTACCTATTAACCACGGCATCTGATTTATTAGCGCCTCTTGATATATCCCAGAGGTTTTCATGTGTTGAAAAACAATTTTCAGGTATTTTGATATTTATAGTCGAATTACTTTTTAAGATTGCATTTGGAAATGCAAATTTTAAAAACGTGAGGTATCAAATCGATTTAGCTCGATAATACCATCGTTTGATATGAATACGCTTCGTTTTCATTCGACTTGATCTTTGGGTCACGCCCCAAAATCCAAAGAGAGACGAAAGATATTAGTGGTCTAAAGTAACAGGTATTGACCCTTGCGGCACCAAGTGGCCTGAATATAATTTGTTTCCCTAAATAGCCAAAAAGGGGCTGAACTGGGTTTCTTCTCAAAATTAAATACGTCCGAAACGCTGGGGTAGAGCTGTTTATTTATGATTTTCAGATAAGGATCCGCTGATATTATAGATACACTTTGTTTAATATCGTTTAATAGTTTAACGGCGCTGCGTCTAATTTTGAGAGATATTCGTTATAAAATATAGTAACAGGCGAAAGTGAATACGTATTTTCACTCTATCAAGTGAAAATACGTATATCATGAAAGATAAAATGATTTGTGTAAAATGTATGTGAAAATATTGTTGTACGGAATATTGGAAATGATTACGATCAGTTCGAGGTAAAATTATTAATTTATACGACATTGAGGTAGTATAGGTAGTCACGCTTGATGACTAATGACATTAATGAGAGTAAGTATTAATTAATGCATGTTTATGTTAGTCATGCTTAGCAGACCACGAAAAGGAGTATTTCACACATGAAGTGTACAAATTTTGTTAGTTCAGTCATTGATTAACATATTCTTCCAGGTTCTGTTCACATGCAATCAGAATACTAATAATATTTTCGGTTTGATATTTTCTATAAATGAAATGGAAATCACTTCATTGCCACAAACACTGGCTTTTAAAATAGATCTCTAACGACAAAAGGCAAATATTGCATTATTATTTTTGTCTATTGTATATAAAAACGGCCCTCGTAGAAATGCACTTGGTCGGGCAAATGCTGCTGCCAACGGTCATAACGTCTTCAACATTTTGTCCGTACAAAAGTGTCAGCCACATGTTGCAAACTGAAATGTCTGCGGCGCAAGTTGCAGCGTTACAGGGTATTTGTCAGGACAAATGTTGCGCGCCGTAGTCATTTATCACATTTCTGTTCGCGGAGCTTCTGCCACAATATCTTGCAGGCCGTTTTCTTTGTTGGTACATGTTGCGGCGTAAATCTGTTCTAATGAAAACGTGCCTCGAAGTTAACCCGAAGACAGAATGAACAATGCCGGTGCTGTATATAGTTTTCATCCATCGCCTTTATAATGAACAGACAGTCCAGATGTAGAAAATCTTGGAGATGAATTACCGTGATCTAAAGACGGGATACGTGTACCGAGATTGCCGACATATACGGCCAGCTGCTGCACTATTTATTATTTCAATGGATAAATATAGATAGGAATCTCTGAATTAGGCCTAAAGCGGATACAATGTTGAGATGAATACATGCTGAAGTGTGAGCAAAATAAGTGAAATAGACTGCAAAGTTTCGATAGTTAAAGTTGATTGCAGCAGTTAAACTGAAATCTTGTACAGTGTGAGCTTTTGCCATAGGCAACCGGAACTATGTTATTTCATGGCAAGCCATAGCAGCTATTAAATGACCTCTTTAATTACTGTGGCGTTATAAATAAAAAATACGTGAATATTTGCAACCATTCACCGTCGGAGGTGTCGGTATCACTTTTAGGATCTTCAAAACCTTGAAGACTTTTAGGACAAACATTTTTAAACCAAAACTTTCCAAAAGTGAACATTTTTCGACAAGGACAAATCGAAACTATGAGTTGTTTGTTGACTAACGGTTGAAATATGAAATAATTCCATGCACGCCAACTTATTCTATAAGTGTACATCCGACTATTTCCTATTAATTAATAATTCATTACATGCATTTATGTGGGCTGCTTCCTACAATAATATTATTAAGAAACAAACATTGCAACGACGACTAACGTTTGTGCAAGTGTGACTTTTTATAATTTGTTTTCAAGTGAAAATGTTTATATACAGGGTGTTTAAAAAACGTGCTGATATTTCTAAGGTAGAAATTACATCACAAGAATAACAAAAAAAGTTCCTATAAACATAGGTCCCACTGGCGAGGCTGAATAAGGACAAAACGTGAACATTGTCCAAATAACGGTATGGTGAGTAATGCATACAATTTTTAATGTCAAACTTCAATCATTGCAGTTTATTTTACCTCAAATATTCAGTTCAGTTTTCTCCGAAAGGAGTAGCCAGACAAAAAATTCTCACGAAAGGAGATTCATTTAAAATTGAATATCTTATTCAAGAATGCAATAATGTTTATATGAACTTTCCGTGTTCCTTTTTGAATGCTCTAGAAATATTCGTCCTATTACTCGATGCAGAATATCAATTTTTGCAAATAGTAGATAATATAGATGTGTTTATTTGAATATGTCTTTCATTCCTTTGACGCTGCGTGACCTCAGCAACCAATGCACTTGCCTTAATGAAATGAACGAAAAATATTTCAAATTTCCTTAATCGTTTTGCAAATTTTTTTTTCAGACCCCGTTAATAATGACCGTTGGAAGAGGTAAAATGATTTTAAAAAAAGAACGATTACAATATTTTTGAACCGCGAGAAAAGTGTATATTTGCATTTGCATTTAACATTTTAGTAACTAACCTAATTTCTTGAAACTATCATATTAAACTATTTTTTAGCCATTTTAGTCATTCATTGTGGACCATCTCACATCTTTATCGTTTCCTAAATCCGTCCCATTTGTGGAGCAAAATGGAGTAGGGACATTAAAGATTTGCAATTTGCAAAAAAATGTTAAGACTTGAGAATTGAGGCAAATCGAATGATCCGGGATGTGTACTAGTCGTAATTTATCTTATATCTTTACAATAGTCCTCTTATTGTCCGACAACTTTTCACGCTTCAGTTGCCCCCAGTCCATTTATTTTGCGTAAGTTGAACTACTGTTAGATTTTCTCCTTGCGTTGAAAAAACAAAGTAGTGCGTGACCTATTTTTTTTAATGGCATTGTGCTGTTGTAGACTTTGTTTTCTAATTAATTCGAATACTTGCATGTTCTGCCTGCTATGATAATCATGCGTACATTGGGAAAGTGATTGTATTGCTTGTACTTTTTTCTACAAGGAAAAGTAGAAAATTCTTGATTAGAGAACTGTGTTAATATACGTATTTGTATAGAATTATCCAGTACAATATGGAATTATACTACAACAGATACGGTACGATATACATATAGCATGTTTCACAGCAAGTCGTACGGTGTTTCCAAGATATAAGATCTAACGTTATTTTATTTTTAAGAGATTCGAATATACATGGCTAACATCAATTTTGTAAAATAACACTTTTAATTAGTAAGGATTTCTCGTGAACTAACGGCTTCAGTATGGGTGATCAGGATTTTTAAACAGGAACATTATAGAAATCATTCGACAGGTGGACGAGGGACTCACGGCCTGCTTAATCTCAGGACTTCAACCCTATAAATTATTCCCCATAGTTGTTAGTATACATAACTTTATTGAAAAGCGTATTTGAAAGAGTTCAGCGGCCCATAAGGAGATTTTGTGATTTTGAACATATTTTTAGATTAAAAAGTATTAAATGTAAATCATTTACTAATAAAAGTTGCTAATATTTTGCTCGCAATACATCTTCCTGTATATCACAAAACAAACTGCCAATATCCGTTTATAGCTCGGGAAATAACGAGAGATAAGCCTGTTATCTCAAAATAACAAGGTTTATGTTGTCGTACCGGAATATTTCGAGTAATATCCGTAAAGATTACAGTAGTATATACAGGGTGACTTCGAAGTTGAGTCATTTATTTTAACAGTGAGTAGATCTGATCAAAGGAAATGTTTTTTTCCTTTACCATTTTTCTGGTAAAATTAAAGTAACAAAGTTATAGCCCTTTGGAAGTTTGAGTACCGCCCTGCCTATTATATGCTCGTGTTTGGCGACAACGGATATAATCCGCCTGACCGGTTCATCGCATCGGAAACAAAAAAGCGAAAGAATTTGAAACGTTTATCACGATGTTTTTCGTCAGTCGATAACGCGTAAGTGAATAGTAGTGTGTTGCGTGGTTCAAACGAAATCAAAAATGGCACATGTTTACGAAAATGCTGAACTTGTGGACATGATTCTTATTTCCGGGGGGGCAGTCTTTACAAAATGCTCCCGGATGCATCACGGATTTATGCGAATCGGTTTCCCAATCGAGTGCAACCAACCCCTCGTGCCTTTGTTAATGTAGTACAAAGGGCTCGTGAATCAGGTGACTTAAGACCTCACAGGTGAGGGCATGCTGCTTCAAGACCGCACGATCAAATACAGGTCCGCACTGAAATACTTGTCGGGAGGATACTTTATTAAACAAGGTAACATTTTTTTTTTTATTTTTACACACATATTTTGGTTTATCTTCCTTCTACAATCATTATCTGAAAATTAATGACTCAACTTCAAAGTCACCCTGTATATATATATATATATATATATATATATAGTGTGATACGAGGCGTTGAGTTACAGTCCCAATGATGGTTGAGTTCTGTCATTTCGCTGATGACATACAGTAAATATGTACCGATACTCACATTCCTTTGTATTCGTACCAAACAAATTTGTAAGATTGTAATGCTGATTCAACTTACTGTAGAACGAAAACTTGTTAATACATTTTATTCTATAAAATAAGTGTTAGGTACTATCTAGTGTCATCAACATCCATTTTACGCTTGTACTAACATGGCAAAACGATGCAGTAGTTTTAGTTTTATATACACACTTGTGGCTTTGTTGATAAATTCACATTACTCTTGATATTGTCGAAGGCGCAGACTTATTTATCTTCAATAATACAATCACAGCTTTATACTTATATACATTTTAAGACCTGCTCGCTTCTGTATGACGTTGAAAGACTAAACAATTACTGGCATGTTATATTAATTAGTTGTCGTTCATCATTATTTTACTCGTACATTTAATATATGAAGAACTGGTTAAATCAAATTTAGTACTTTTCAAAATAATTATAACTCACCTGCAAAGTGAGATTTATAGAGCCCGTTCCTAAGCTGTTATAGAGATGCATTTGCACATACAACTTAACGTTTTTATTCAACGGTTCACTTTTTAGTTTGATCACAGAACTTTTTTCTTCTGTTAACACCCAGTTTCAAAAAAATAGAAAGACTGATAATATAACGTCAAGGATGTCGCAAAATATCAGCCAGGAATTACATTTGATTGTGACAAACACATGTCACCTAATCGGTATTTCCGTTACCCCAATGAGTGCATTCAGCTAACGGAAAGCGGGCTAGCTAGTGCTAGCAGTAGCTATGAGACGCCTTTGTCATTTTAACAGCAGCTTCAACTTGGCTGTCAGATTTGATAGTACGTTTATCTAATGTTGGGAGCTGTCAAACCCATTCAACTGCTATTCAGCTTACCGGCTGACCACTGAATGATGCATTCAATGTATCAATAATTGTACTTTGAAAGTAGATCTTCACATTCTATTCTTAGGTGTGATAAAGTAGCAATACATACTGTTTGTTATTGGTACCAGTCAACTTATTTTATTCTGAAAGTGACTATGGAACTATATTTATGGGTATCTTTCTGCACATACACACTTTTAAATTGCTTGCGAAACAGGATCGTGACTCGATAGCAATTAGGCGATCAAACGGGTGGGTGTGGTAACACGTACTCGAATCCTAGTTCTATATATTTCTTCCAAGTAAGATTCTTATGACATCAAAATTTGCATATCATTGGCTTAGTGGCAATACCATGCATCTTCAAAATTTTAAAATTTTCTTTTTTGAAATAAGTGCCTCCACCTAGGACTAAGCACTAAGACATCACATCAAATGATCAGTAACAATGTACGGTCATACTGTTTCTAAACGACTATCGCTAATAAGATACATCACTAAGGGCCGTATCGTCAGTCGTTCCTACAATTGTAGGACGCCTTTATGTCCTTGATTTTCATAACATTTTCTCTCCCTCAGAAAGGCTGGGATATTTTTAGATTTCTACTTTTCCGCGTCAGCATCAGCGCTCTCCTATTGTCATCTAGAATTGTAGGAAATTTAGGCTATATGGTATAGGTATAATCAAAAGCATGATCAATTTGATGCAAATAGATATTTGTGACATGACCTCAAAACAAAGCGTTGTCTCGGAAGAGCAGAAAACTATGGAAATCAAGGAGGCCATAAAGCCGTCCTACAAATAAATAATTGTAGGAACGATTGACGATACGGCCCTGAGGGGCTATATCAGCCTGAAATGTCCTACGGTTCAAAACGAAGAGTCTCACAATAGGAGAGCGCTGACGCTCACATGGAACAGTAGAAATCTAGGAAAGGAGAGAAAAGACTATCAACATCAAAAAGGCCATAAAGGCGTCCTAAAATTGTCGGAACTTCTGACGATACGCCTCTAATGCGATACCAAAGGCTCAGTTCATCTTTCATGATTCGATTTTCCTATTTCTAGTCGTTCTGGTTTATGTATGTAGTATCAGGTGAGTAATTCACAAAAGTACGATTGGTATGCATTAGTGGTTTAAATTATTGATATGCAGCTTCAAGAAAGATTTCGAATGTAAATCTAATAACTGATTTGGTAATACTCGTAGACACACAGACTTTTTAGAGAATCGGACAAACTTCAACAATTGGACTAGGTAATGGGTTGAAAAGATTTACAGTCAAATCACAGCTTAGATATCAATCAGCTATGAAGTCAGTGTCAAAAATGGCCGCCATTTCGGCGGAGAAAATCGCATCTGTATACCGCTTGTACAACGATGAAAGAGGTTTTAGTGTTCAGCAGCAGCCGGTGTTGCCACATATCATGCCAGCGACCGCAGATATTCTTTGCAATGGTAAAATGATAAAATTTCGATATGATCTAGTGAAGTTTGTGTGAATCAATAATGAAAAGGAGTATGTTTGTCCAAAAAGAAGCGACGGATTCATTTATGAAAAAGCTGCAAAATAAATTTGTAATGGTGGAAGTATTTACAATAAATGGGAAAATATTTACTTTTGCTATGTACTCTATACATTTTCAATGTGAACAGAATGCTCAAAACACCAGACAAATACAACGTTAACTCAATCACTAGAATTCCGGTGTTTGTCGCGAAAAAAACGAGAGCACATGAACATTTAAGTGAGGGTTTATATTAAACAAATTCATTTAAAAAATGTATGTTTTGTTATGTAATTATGAATCACCTTGTGGAGAGCGGCATATTTCCCAAATAACCCCGACAGCACGAAATATTTCATTAAAAATTTATTTAATATTTAATAATATTTTTATCTTACTTGAATATTTGTTTTCTTAAACAAATATTTAATAAACATTTGTAATATGTTTTTATTAAATATTTATTCAATATCTTTTAAATATTTTAAATACAATATTTCTATTCATTAACTATTTACTTCAATGAAAAATATTATATCTCCAAAAATTTAGAAAATATTCATCAAATATTTTCGGCTACGGCGCATGTGCGTGTGACCTCGAGCGACCAATGGGATAATAGCAAGTCGGCCTTAGGCGACCCGTTTGGCGGCAGCCATTTTACCTGTGACTTTCACTATGATAGCGTGCTTCCTTTGTACCTCCAAGTGGTTCATTATTTTAGTGTTTTTTTTTGTGGACAAGGGACAAGAGTAAGTTTTTCGATAATTAATTACATAGCTTGATTTATCTGACTAGTAAACATTATTGTGCCAGCTGAGTATAAAGGTATTCATAAGACCATAAATAACTAGACTTGAAGTGTAACATTTATTTGGTATTGGTGGATTTATCTGAGAATGGATACGAAAATTATGTTCATAACATCCCAATGAAAGGACATATAATCGCAACTTGATCGAGATACATCAAAAATGCGTTTTTTAAATATCTCAATTATTATTATTTTTGTCGTAGTACGTTCAAAAAATTTAACAGTAAAAAAATCACTAAATAGTTATGGCTGCCTTACTAAAAAAAAGTCACATTTCAAAAAAAATCAATAAGTGTGGTCATATTTTAAATTTTAAATAGCCACATAATTGAAATGGCCAGTAAAACTAGTCTCATCAGGTTAACTCGGCACTAAAACTGAAAAAAAAAAAATAAGAAACACCACCTCGTACAAATACGACTCTGTCCTGTCCTATTGGTGAATCGATATCTCCGACGCCTATCATGCATATAAAGAACTAAAGGATGGGTAACATAAAGCAGTCAGTCCATCGAATGACACATTTACTGCGCACACTCTTCTACTATTTGGCAATAGATGGCGCCATTCATAAACCAAAGAATCAACCCCCCTTTACATTCCCATTTTTTCGATATGCATTTAATCTGTTATCAAAATATCTTCCATAATAATTAAAGAAGAAACAGGCGCAGAGCTATAATTTTCAATACCATTTACACTGCAGGAGGAATCTACTTATATTCTTTCACCAGGCTGCATATTTTTAATTTGAAAATACGAATATGACGGAACTGTCAAAAAATTAACTTATCTCAAGTCCACTTGTAGTATGCACTCTCATCCTGATACTGACGACAAATTGTACACTTGCTCCTTCTATTTAGTCTAATTTGGTTGTGACGTGGAGTAAATGTCGTGGCCATAATGTAAAATTGACAAATGGAATGATCGACTCATGAAATGTGTCATTATTTATTGGCCAGATCATGACGTAAGTAGGCCAGATCAATGATAACAAATCGTTTAACGATATGATCAACTGAATACGCGGCCACTCCATGAAATGGACAAGCATCTTTGATCAAATCGTAAAATATTTACATAAATTACCGATAGAGGCGCTTTGTTTAAATTTCAACACTGCTGTCATAACCAAGACGTTTTTCGAAGTAAACATTCAAATAACTCGTTATCAAATGAGGGAGAAAATGAAATTAAAAGTGGTTGTCGTAGCTAAAGAACAATAAACGAGTTCGTCACATATTCTGGATTTTTATTAAATATTCTATGGACACCCTATTTTGCGATATGACCAAATCTTTAAACGCTGACGAATCCAGGATATGGTCAAATTCAGATCTTTTCGTGAAATTGGTCAATTCTACGATATGGCGACGACATAAATACCATTTAAATAAACGTATCTTTGTAGTGGTTACAACAACTGCAGGACTGTGTTTAACCTGGAGTCCAAATTTCTCTTATAAAATGTATGTATTTTGACCTCTGTATAAGCTATAAGCTTCACCCACAAAATAAAAAAACTACCAAAAATAAAAATGAATTCTATTGCATAAATATAATTATAATTAAAACTCTGCACAAAGGGCATGTAAGTACTCACCTTTCGGACGTAGGATGCTTGTGGATGATGTTTTACAGGCATGAAGAGCAATTTAGTCCTGTCGAAAAACTGGATGCCATCTATCGAAGCTACGCCCATGTATAGAAATATCCCCAAAACCACAGCCAATGGCACCAGTCGAAGGAGTGGTGACATAAAAACTGACAGCCCTGAAAAGAAAGAAAAGAAAAATATATCACTTTTTGATGATTCATCCTACATACTATACCGCACCACTTTAAATAATGGGGCATATTCCAAAATTTTTGTTTTGGTGGAATATCAGTTTTCCGCATCCAAAAAGTATACCCTCAAATGTGTTTACCTTTCTCTATGAACAAGGAGTGGTGAAATTTGCCTTCCAAAATTTGTGCGAAATATTTCGCGTCACCAACATACAACTACTTTATCACAGTTTACGATCTTTGTATCATACTACAGTCTGGTACCAAAACGGAAAATAGTACTTCACATCTTTCAATACGTTGAGATCCGGGTGCATCGACCTTGCCGATTCCAAGGCACCCCTCGCTAGTAGTGGTGTATGTTATGGTACTGTCTTCCATTTTGGTACTCGAGAATAGGTTCGTATCCAACACATCATCGGTCCGTTCCAGTACAGATGCTGACGTTGACAGTTCTGTCATTCCATTTCAATCTCAATTTTCCTTAAAATTCGTGTTTTCGGAAGTGTTTAATGAATGTTTCATCCTCCATAATTTAGAATTTTAAAAATAACTTCAAATAGTGATCTCTCAGCGGCTTGCGTTCAACCGTGAGGACTACCAAAAGCCGACGTCGCTTGTACAGTACAGACCGTATCGTTACTAGCAAAACGGGCTACCTTCATAACACCAAACTCTTTAGAAATATCTTGTGACATAACTGTTTTCTGTAAATTATACTACAGTCTGATCAAAACGAAATTCACATTTTTTTATAATACACGAAAAAACATTACATACTGCAAAATATTTTCAATATTTGAAAATACACTTGGTTCTCCAATGACTACAGTATTACCAAGAACTTTCATTGGAATGTATTTGTTTTTGAGGTAGAAATAAGCAATTTGAAAAGGAAACATATTTGGCGGTTTTCTTGGAATAACCTTTTTTTAATTTATTAAGCCCTAGTACATAACATGTTACATGCAAAGAATATTATGAGATAGTATACGATCCTAGTATGATACCGTATAATGGGCAGGCAAAGAACTTAATCCTAAATAATAATAATTGATGGCAAACATTTTGTACAATATTTCTGGAGCGCATCTTTAACATAAAGGAACTACTCTCGATAATAGTTTTAGAATTATTATTAATATTACCTATGAAAATGGAGACAAAAAGCGCTGAGAGTCTCTGTTCCTTGACCTCAATAAGATGCGGCTTCTCTCCGGGCGCATGGGTCCTGGACATCACGGTAAGCGCCGAGGTGTGTACAATGGACCTCACAGCAGCTGCGCACAACCAAGGAAACCCGAAGAAGCCGCAGATAACGTTGATCAAGCAAATTATCACGATATCCAGGTGGATGCCGCTTCCTTTTTTAAGCTTCCTCTCCGGTTTGCTGATTATTAGCCTAAAATAATAAAAAATATAACCGAGATAAATAAGCAAGATATTTTTCACAAATTGTTGGTTTTATTTAAAAACGAAACCTTGAAGTACATTGAAGTATTCATACACCCTTTATATGTTTCAACTATGATTTTTTTCAACCTTCTAAGCCTTCATCTCTATCCAATTTTTGACCTGCCTAAGGTCTCTACAATCTCATCACCTTAGTATTATAAGATCGATGCATCAAGCTCAGCGACAGCTGTCCATGGTTGGCTGTCTTTGGTCAGATGGACGAAAGGAGAAAATATTTATTGTGTTCAATGGTAAGTAGACCACATCTACTACACAGCCAGATTAGTCGCCACCTAGCGGTCAGATTGTGACGGCTCTCATTCGCATACTGGGATCTATACAGTCCCCACCGGTTGTTTCGATTCACTGTCTAGCAGTGGACGAGTCTAGCGATAGGTGGCGCTTTGAGCTGTCTTATTTTGATGCTGTTCGTTCTCTATATGACTGCTCTCTGGATATTTATTTGAAGATGCGAACAGTTTTCATTATCTAGATATCAGAACTTATAACTTATACTTACTCAGCGATATGTGTTTCCATGAACAGTAAAATGTAGACCAGCATAGCAGGAATACATGATGCGAACATGATCCAGACTGGCACCTTCGTGGGAGAAATGAACCAACCTCGTTTCTCAGTATCGGATGGTGAAAATCCTACCGGCACGTTCAATTTCTCGGTGTAAGTTTCGGGTACCATGTAGTCTAACAGTACCATGATTACTATGGCGATCGGTACACCAAAATCTCCTAGAGCCCTCCTCGCCTAAAAATAGTTTTATGTTGTTAGGTAAATACTATGTAGAAAATATAGTTATCTTTTTATGAATTACAAATGATGACTTGTTAAAAATAGATGAAATTTTAAAAATGTATTCTTACAGCTCGCTGAAATTTTAGCAAATTGAAATAAGGAGTGTTGTTCTTTTTTCATCATACGTTTAATTAAAAATATATCCGTCGCTCAATAAATGCAATTCAGAATGTATTGTCTAAAATAGCGCCTTTGGTACTTCCTATTCATATTGATATAAATTTATTTAACGTAAATTTGCGTCGTGCTTCCTCATTCATGTTAAAGGGCATTCAACAAACGCGAATATTAATAAGAAATCAAGCTAGAGAACGTCTTTCGTAAATATCCCAACATCTTTTCAAAAATGATCACTTTATATCGTGAAAGTCAATTCCACTTTCTTCAGAAAATAATTTTTTAGTTGGATTCCGTTCTACGTGACATTTTGAGTCGTTTGGAGTAAAAAACGGACAGCTACAGGATCTACAATGTGAAATATAATTGGAGTTGACCTGGTAATGCCTTGAGGCAAGAACCGATCAGTTCCGCAAATGTCCAGTTATTGCTCTAAATAATAGATCGAGCTGTTCTGGCAACTGCGTGAATGTGAATGTCTATGTGCATCTAGCATTATTTAGTCAGAAGCAAAAGCCAAAGTGCAACTGAAAAAATCCCTCCACCTTGTCAAATCGAAAGCTTCTTACACCTCGCTGAAAAAAATCCTCTCAGGCCAGAAATGAAGAATCTGTTGAGGTCTTGTGCTCTGACTACCAGAAGAACATGCCTTTAACACATACTCCGTCTGGAGACGTATTCTGTACAAGGCAGTCCTTGTTATTGTAGCGTTTTTCTGGGTTCTTTTGGGTGTGGATTAAAACAGAGATCGGCTATGAAGCTCTGGTGCGGTCCCCAATAGGCGCTAACGGTACTATTCATTCTTGTTACAGTAGGTTCAGTAATACAAATGTTTCGTGTATGAGATAATCCAGTTGTTTCTTTTTGGGGCAAAAAACGACCAGTTACATTTTTTGTATCGTTCTTGACTGCAAAAATACCAATACACACTTTTTTTTTATGCAAACTGTTTATCAGTATCCTTCTCTATATCTTAAAATAACTTACCCTCAGTTGGTCCGTTTTCTTACTTTACATTCGCGAATGTTTCACAAATCGATCTTTTTTTCATAATCATGTTTGCTGAATACCCCTTAACATGAGTCCAAAGGTAGCCGGTTAGTAACCCTGAGCAATTTGTTAAAACAATTTACTAATGCTAAAAATTAAACTTAAAACCTTTCCCTACAAGACTCCTAAGAGTATTTTTAATTCAGTTTATTTTAAATTGAATTTCAACCTTGTTTAGTAGGCCAAAATGGGCAAAGTTTTGATTTTCGCAGAATGTAAGCATTGATATACAAGCCACCGATTTCAATGTTTTTCCTACTTTCGTTCGTCTAGACAACTTACGCTTCTCCCAAGGAACTGGCTGTTTCTGAACATCCTTAGGTAATATGCAATAGCAAAGGTGCCCAAAGTCAGTATGGTGCAGAACAGAGCCGTATTCGGCCTGTTGATGGGCTCGTCTGTAACTTCGTCGATCATAGGCGTTCTCATGATCACGTGGCACTCATGCTGGAAGGTCTCGCTTGGACCTGTGTAGAAGATGTCCGTCGTAGTGTTGGTTTTGTAGTAGGACTCGTTCTTGTAAGTTATTGTTTCCATTTCGCAGTAGTCGCCGAGCAGGGGGTGTTTTGTGTACAGGAACAGAACCTTTAAGTGAACGATATCAAATAATAAATCACTTATAGAAATTACACTAAAAATTTTTTCAACAAAAGCGAGTGGATGTTGTGTATTGTACGGTGACTTAATGTAGTCGTCCCCTGCGCTAGACAGTCAGATGTAAAGGCTGGGCCATCAGTTGGTTGGTTCAAGTTGGAATTATTTGGTAACACTTCCATGCTCAACATGTTAACAGATATATTGTGTCAAAATTCCGCTGTGAGCAATGGATCGTATTAGTCTTGAACAAACTTGGGAAATATTGAAAAAGTGAGTGGTGTATTGCAGAAACTTTGTGAAAATTTTGAAAACTATTTGGTCGGAATGAAGCTCCGTCCGCGACTGGTATACGGAAATTCGGCCTGCTTATGGATGACAGAAGGTATGAGCGTGTTCGACCCGTACATACAGCCGAAAACATTGCTGCTGTTGCCCAGAGTGTGCGTAAAAACGTCAAAACTCGTCACACAGCACAACAAGTGGGCATCAGTCGCACTTCTGTGTGAGAATATTGCATCACGACCTTGGATTATTTCCCTACAAGGTGCAACTTGTGCAAGAGTTGAAACAAAATGACCATCCGCTTCGAAATCATCTTTTCGGATGAAGCCCATTTCCATCTGGGAGGTTACGTCAACAAACAGAACTGTAGGATTTGGGATTCTGAAAATCCACATGTCGTCATAGAAAAACCAATGCATCCAAGGAGAGTAACTGTTTGGTGGCTTTTGGAGTGGTGGGATTATTGGTCATTACTTTTTCAAGATGAAGATGGTAACAGCCGTGAAACAATCGATCTTTTACACACTAAGTTCGGTCATCGCGTTATCAGCTGTTTTGGGGTACTGTTAAAGACCGCTTTTACACTAAGGATCCTCAAACAATTGATGTTCTTAAGGAAAATATCCGTCGAGCTATTGATGAAATAGACCCACAAACTGTCGAAAATGTGTTTCAAAATTGTTTCAAGAGGATGGACTACCGCGGCAGCCATTGGAGATACAAACATGTTTTAACCAGCGATATAAAATTACGGCTTACCAATGCACTAATCCTCACTCACCTAGACTATGGCGCTACAGTATATTATAATTTTCTGACGGAAGAAATGAAGCACAAAATTCAAGTATTACAAAACTGCTGCATGAGATTCTGTTTCAAAGATATACATATACAAGAACATATTACTGGATATTATGTGAGAGAAAATCTTTTAAAATTCAAGTATCGTGTATTACTTCAGTATGGAACTCTACTATATAAAGTTTTAAAATATAAATTACCCAGATATCTGTTTATTGCTTTAGAGAAGAGATGTTCACTCCGTAAAGTTTCCTTACGCAACAATGAATACTTCAATATTCCAGTTCATACAACATCTAAATTCAAAAAATGTTTTACTTATACGGCACCATATCTACTAAACGATCATTTAGAACTTTTTGAAGCACCTTCCATCCAAAACTTCAGAAATGAGATGGAAAAAGTGCTACTACAGCTGCAAAGATTTGAATCCACAAATTAAATTTATGGCGCTTGCTACACTACCCTCCATTAACACTCAGACTATATCGTATTATATACTGTGTTGTGCATAATATATGTTGTGAATTCTGTTGATGTTAAAAAACGCTCATGAAGTTAACTTTTTAGGGGGAGGTGAAAAATGGCCCTGCCAATCCTTTTTCCTTTTGGAATGTTGTCGTTTTTATATTTTTATGTATAAACATTCCAATAAAAATTATTATTATTATTATTATTATTTACCTGAAATTGTTTTTCATAAATAATCGGAAGGTGTATTCTTTTGATTAAAGTATCGAGTGTTACATATTATTGAAGAGTTTAGTTTTAATACCAATTTAAAAAAGAAACCAACATGGCCCAGCCTTTATTAGGGCGTCGAGCGCTAGCAGATCGGCTCGAAGGCTCCTGGGTTCGAATTCCTGCCTCGGAAGCTACATTTGGAGCCATAGATGTACGCACCAGATCGGTGGAAGAGGAAAATGAGTATGACGCATCGCTGTAGTTGATTTATTCAATAATAACCAGTTATCAGCAGATAAGCAGTGTTCATACAAGGGGACAGTAAAAAGGATCAAAGATTGTCTGGCTCCGCCACTCCACATTACTACTACTGCAGTTTTCTGTATTTCTTATGACGGTACACTCATCCATAGTGTATGTTCACAGTTTCAGCTGTATAGTATTTTTTTGTTGGCTTGTGAGGTTGTTTTCCATGTTCGGTGACTATTCGCTATTGGAAAAAATGGACAAAGCAGCTTTTATTAAATTTTGTACAAAAAGTACTAGAAAACATCTGAAATGTTGACAGTGTATTCCCGAAAGTGCAATATGAGTAAAAGACTTACAAGCTCTTCCTAGAATGCTAAGAAGATGTTAATGACGAGACTCGTTTTGGGTGCCTGAGCATGTCAATGACTGATGAAATCTTAGGAAAATTCAGTTTCTTTCGTCCACCTCCGGAAATAATCGGAATTGCAAAGTTCTATTCTTTTAGTTATCTAAATACGCGACTTTCCCTGTATTTAAGCGATTTCGTACCTGTCACCGTTTGCGAGATCCCACTGGTGAGAGTCTAATTTCAAACACCCTTTATGTGTATCCCAGTAGTAATTCACCCGGAAAATTCAGAGCGATTTCCATACAGTTGTACTGCTGCCTTCACATCAGGTCAGTGTACAGTCGGAAGCAAAAAATACAGCGCGACGTTCTTTCCATATTGGCGGAAATCAAACAAGAGGCAACCACGCAATGCTACATACAGTATGTTGATGTGTCTCATAAGGCGAAATTATGCATTTTTATCTTGATTCGTTACTTTCGTAAAAAGGAAGTATCATCAAAATGCGACAAGTTACTTCTGGATGACAAGTTTTTGTACTTGTCAATCAGATTAAAAATAAAAATAAAACTTTTAGATGGACTTGGAGGCGACACTGCCGCCTATGAGTAGTTCGAGTGATGCAGGATTACTTCAATGTTCTACAACAGAGGGAAAATAGTTCGCAATGCTTTTAGCGCTCATCCAGTATAATACTCTTTTCCACCTTCTCATCAACAGTAAATCAGTAGTTATTACCTTTTCAAGACTTTCCAGGATGTAGATTAGGACGATGAGCGTGGAAAATATATCCTCGGTGAAGCGTGTGAATAGCTTTACAAGTACGCTGCCTTCAAAACAAGCCACCATCACTCCTATGACAGCTAACCAAAGGCCTATGTACACCCTCGTCGAAAGAAAATCTATGCCGTTGGACTTGCTGAATTGGAAAAGGCTCTCGTCGAACAGCAACAATGCACCTAGAACAATAATATCAAATATAGTGTCGAGTGTAGATTGTCTACCTGCGAATAGCTAAGGAGCCGTGCGTTTATTCTAGTAAGTAATATATGAAGGATACAGGGGAAAAAGATGAATGTCACAAAAAGTAAGGTTCGAGAAAAGTGAATTCAAAGTTTGAAGACTCTTAGACTCACTGTACAGGGTGGGTCATAGATCTGATGGAGTACCATAGATTCCTTATAATAAGAAATTGAAAAAAGATAAATTAAAAGTAAAAAATATTTTTTGGTAAACAGGGTAGCCCAAAAGTCAAAGCACGCCAATCTTTTTTTAACGGAAAATCCTTTTAATTTTTGTATTTTGAGATATACAGGGTCCGTCAGAAAGAACCCATGTTTTTCGAATGGGTACTACATCGAGTGGGCTGGCCCTGAGTCGGTGGGGAAGAGCGTGTTGGATAGTGGGAGAAGTGCCGTTTCAGTTGGCAAGATGGTTTGGAACGTTGAGCATCGTGTGTTCACTGTACGTCGGTACTTTCAAAATGGCGAGTCTGTCGTTCGAACGCAACGTGAGTTTCGCGTTCACTTTCGTATTCCACGTCGTACCTGACCGTAACACCATTTTTAGATGGGTGGAACACAACAGGTAATGTGATGAAGAAAAAGCCGCCAGGGCGAAACCATACTGTTAGAACCCCTGAAAACGTAGACAGAGTGAGAGTAGGCACGCTGCAAAGCCCGAATCGTTCCGTCCGTTTGCGTGTCAGTTCCCTAGGGATCCACGCGTCCTCTGTACGTCGCATCTTGAAGAAGGGTTTAGTGTTGCATCCTTACAAAATCAAAGTTTGTCAACAACTGTTGCCAGGGGATTATGCACAACGTGTCAAATTTGCACAGCTCATGATTGAACAGTTGGATAACAATGACCTGACGTTGTTTATGAGTGATGAAGCACATTTTCATTTACATGGATACGTCAATAAACAAAATTGTCGATACTGGTCTCCAGGGAACCCACTCAGTTGCATGAGCATCCCTGTATACCCCGAAAGTTACAGTTTGGTGTGCAGCAGGCCCAACGATGATTATTGGTCCTTATTTTTTTGAGGATGATGGAGAAATAACTACTGTGAATTCAGAAGGTTACATCCACATGCTGAACAACTTTTTTTCCTGAACTTCGACGTTGACGTGCCCGTCGACCCTCGTCGATTTGAAGGAGGAAATAAGAAGAGAAGTAACCCAAATTCCTGCACTGATGCTGGCCGACGCAATAGGCCCAATTCGGGAGTGGCTGAATTCCTGCATTTCGGCTCAAAGGCGCCATATGGGCGACATAGTTTTTAGAACGTAAATTTTGTTTTACTCATAAAAATGGCATGTATTTCTGAGAATTTTGATGTAATATGACTGTACTCATTTAAAAAACGTGTTCTTTCTGACGGACCCTGTAGAACAAACAAAACAAAATTAATGGTAACCGCTTAAAAATGATTACTTAACGTTTATTTCTTTCGTCGCAGATTGGTGTATGGTGAATTGATGTAGTAGCTACTAGTTTCGGTGAAGTTCATTTTTTTTTCATACAACGGCTGTGACATTCATCTTGGGAATAACTACGGACTGTCGTTGTTTTTGTCTCTCTCCGATACCTCAGAGAATTCTACTGCGTTAAGACTACACGTTGCCGGTTCTAACTACAAAACAAAAAATTTGTGACATTCATCTTTTTTCCTCTGTACCTTTGATATGTGTACTAACCTGTGGTTCCAACTATAACCAGCGGCTGCCCCGCCAATATGGCAAATATAATACCGCCGACACTGGTGCACAGCAAAGTCTCCGATATTCCGATGAGATTCTCCGTCTTATTGCCTGTGAGCCCACCGAAGGCTATAGCCCCCGATACCGCAGCAAAATACATGAATACCGCAGCTGCAACGCACTGTGCGTTAAAACTATCCGTGATGTCGCTTTTGTAGTGGGGGTACCGGCGGCGTAGGTCGTTGATTAGGCCGCCCCAAGGTCGACGGGTGCGCTCCAAAGGGTCGGGGAAGGGGGGTTTTTTACCATCATCACCGCCTATAAGCATAAGAGAAATTATAAAGAAATATAAATTCTTCACTTCTTGTTTTGAAAACAGAGTTGCTTGTCTTACTCAACAGTCGAATAAACGAAGGAATTCGGAGATAAAGCATGATATTCTCAAAAAAAACAACTTTGTCTGACGAGATATCTCAGAGAAGATTTGGGAATTCCCAATTCTGTTAAAAAATATTTGTTTTAGTGAAAATGCTGAATGGAGTCGAAACTAGATAGAAGTCGAGTTTCTTCTGGTGAGAACACTGTCTTTCAGTTTCAGAGATTCCAGTGGCGAGCATCTAATTTGAAACACCCGGTAAATAGGTTTTTCTGTTTTGAAAATAATTACCTGCAGCAACCATGGCCTTAACAACGATCCCCTGCGCTTCCTGAGCTTTCTTGATAGCATTCTCCTTCCGTATTCGTATTGCCTCGCTCTTCGCCTTGATTTCCTCGATAGGCAGCAAAGCCTGTCGTTCCCAGTCGCCAGGTGGCAGCACTATACTGTCGTCCAGGAACTCGTTGATGGCCGACAGCAGTTCCTTGCGGTTCTCCGCGCGGTACGCTATGCTATGGAACTGTTGGTTGGCCATCAGGGTTGAGATGGATCTGCCCACTTCGTGGTAGTCGATGTTGGGCAGTTTGGGACCCAACAAGACAAATATGAACCTGGAAATTTTGAAGTTGAACAATTAATTTTGTTGCTTCACAAGGTGGATAAGATCACAGATTGAACAAAAAATGGCGTCAAGTAAGTTGAACCTGTACTTCCCACGCAGCACAGTCATCAGTTGGTAAAGGATTATGTTCGGAACAACTTGGCCCTTATTAGAAACATTTTAGCTACGAACATGTGTAACAAAAAATAGAATGACCTTCTTCCTCCCCGTGAGAAAAATTCCTGCGGGCGCACATGTTGTTGCTATGACTAATCCCTCGTGGATGAGGATATTGACTTTTACAGCATACAGCAGCAAGGAAGCGACTGCTATCTACACGAACTGTTGGGGATATTTCTAAGTTTTAAGGGTAAATGGAATTACCGAAGTTGGAAGCGTATAAATATACCAACGCCAAAAATTAAGATATACCCGCCCACCTCCTGGAACTCTAACCTCTAATTTTTAACCCCTGCAAAAATTTATACGAAAATAATCAGGAGCCTCTTAAAACGTAAAAAAATCAAAGATTGTGCTTTTCAACATTTTTCTCTGCCGCCGCTGGACCGATTTTCAAAAACTTGAGTGGAAATTTCATAAAATCCGAGCGGTACTTTGCAAGTTATAGATGGGCCAAGGATTCCTAGTAACATATATGTACATCAAAGTCTTGAGACAACAGAGTTATTAGATTAAAAAAAAACTGCGATATCAAATCTGGCTCTGCCATAAGATTTTTGTTCTATACGCTCATAGTATGATACGGTATAGTGGGCAAAGACCTTTTGGTGAAAATACACTTGTATCAAGATACCACGCAGGCCACATGCCGTATAGGCACGAAAATGGAATATTCATACAGCAAAGCCCAGCTTGCCGGTTTGATGTTAATTTACAGTAAGTGTCTTTAATGTTTAACGAGCGGTTTCACAGACCGCTCACAGTTTGTAATTTTCGTGTTTACCCACTTACACTCCCCATTTAAAAGTTAAATTAGTTGAGATGGAGAAAAATAGGTTTGAGTGAAATCATATAGGTAAGTTTGATACTTTTAAATGATAATCAAAGTAACAATCACAAATTCTTTGACGAATTAATTTGACCTTGAAATTTTGTGTAACATGAGACCATGGAAGTGTGACTAAAAAAAAAAAAACGTTCACGTTAAAGGTGAAAATGCTGCTGATACTACGTGGCTGTATCATTTCTCTGGACGTTTCCATCCCGCGCCACGTAAGCTTGTTTATATTGTACAAAGACCACCGTCGAGGTTTGTGAACAAAAGAAGATCTTGACAGCAAACGAATTTTGCAAATTGTGGAGAAGTTAACAATCTTGTGTTTTTGAATTGAATGGCGAGAACTGCTAACAGAATAAGCAATCTGCGAGAGGACAGTACTTGAAATTCCTTATAAAATGGGCAGAATACTTTAATTCATTATTTTACTTTCTCGCTGTGGTTGTCTCTAAAAAGCAAAATGCGAGCTTTTAGAACACCCTGTAGATTTGTTCAAAGCTAATCGAAAATGTTTTTACGTGTTCGACCTCCCTATTGGGAACGTTTTTAATTTTGTGGTTACGAACATTTGATATGGTTAAATAATAAATATAGTGTATTGCATTTTTTTTACCTGACTGGAATATTAACTTCAATCAAGGATGGAATGACTACACCTTCGGCCAATCTCACAAATGCTATTGCTGGTTCTTCCAAGAAGTCGACTTCTCCTACAAGTACGGTAGACCCCTGAGCACCTGCAGGTATTCTCTTCAATATTGAGTCATGGTGAGCCTTTCGTACGTCCTAAAAACCAGTTACTAATTACTGCAAGCATGATTAAAATATTTTTTGTTTTTATAGACGCAATTTCCAAGTATAGGGCTGCTTCTTAGGGTTCTTTCTGTTATGTGAATAGAACTAGAAACAGTCTGTTAAACTAAATTGTTTGTTCGCTACAGAATGAGAATTTATGATGGGCAAATAGCAACGTAAATAATCCTACATAGACGTTCTTTAGGCCACAGTAAAACCACAGGAATTAGTTTTATACATCCATCTCCCTCACACATACATATTTATGCAATCGGACTCTTTGACTGGCAATTTTTGTAAGTTTACATATATACATGTACGTTTTAAGTTTTGTCTAGCCGCCTTGAAAATTTTCTCGCCAATCTATTTACCTTTATTGATCTTCGATATAAAAGATAGTGATGTTTGAACATACACATACATAGTCGCAGTCTGTATTGAATTTATAGAAGTATTTCCAGAGAGTGGTTGAGAATGACGGTCCAATATTAGACAATTCATGTAAGTGTGCAAGAGCGAGTAGCAGCTGTGTTGCTATGCTACTTTACGGATCGAATTGTCCAGTGTGCTATTTTCCTTAGATTAGTTAAGCAATGTACATGCTACCATTATTCAATCTGTCTTCTTGTTTCGTATGACGATTGTGACGAAACGCGAAAAACCGTGAAAAGAACATATGTGCCACATGTGGTCATATGAATACTCCACGTGCAAAAAACACTAAGCCCCCATGTTTGACTGACCAATGAAACTGCATGTATTTAAAATTCTTCATGGATCTGTAAACGTTTCGGTAACAACTGTGGCATTCTTCAGTACATGACACTTTCTTACAATATTCTATTTTCAGGTGGTCATTTGTTTTTTCCTTTCATTTTTAGATTCCTATGCGGTGTGTCACTACAATGGTCTGAAAGGTCCGTAACCCATCATGTAAAATCAGCATAGCCCAGGACCGCCTGTGGTTTAACGACAAGCGAGCGTGAGGTTTATTTTAATGTACTAGATGCGTCACCCTTGTCCATCGTTCCGAAAACGCCAAAAGCCGTCAAAAAAACACTTCGGCTAAAATGTTGCACTTTGACATTTACAGGGAACCATATTATTTGATATGTGGAAAATAATATGAGACACAACAGTTTAGCTTCGAGATCCAACAACAATATGAGAAAAAATAGCTGGTTCTTCTGTGGACGTTAACCCAATTTGGTTCAATATCCTCGAAGAAAAGATATAATTGATATTCTCACACTTAACTAATGGACTGAGTTTTTTACACATGTTTTCTGGGAGATTATCGAGATGAGAACCAGACTATAAGTTTCAGATGTTACATTAACCACTGCATTGTATTCCTGACTTATAAAAACAGTTTTGAAGGGTACGTGACAACATAAATATTCTAGATGTAGCACCACCATTAATAATTACACTACTTTCGGTACAAAAACATTAACGTGGGACGAGCCACGCAAGAGTTCTTCATAATATGATGTTTGGCAGGACAGGCTGTAAACGAGATGTGTGCCGATAGATAATTCAAGTTCATGATGTTTATTTTTAACGAAATATGACAATGTGCAAACATTGCTTGAGCAACTTATGCATGTAATAATTGATTCCATTTCATCACTGTATTTTTTGCAAAGTACATTTTTTATATCTTTCCTGAACTATGAAGCAAATACATGTCGGCTATATTTCTCCAAAAAGAAAAAAATATGCCCACCAAAAGCTTTCAGTCACAACAAAGGCGGATTAAAATGTCTGGGTTTCAGTTCCAAGAAAAGTGTCGGTGAATGCTGAAATTAAATATCCAAACCGTAGAAAAGTCTTGCATCACTTTTTATTTTCGTCGTACAGAGTGAAAAACCTATAACAAATATGACGGAGAATCCTTAAAATTGAATGGAAAATACTGAAAGCTCAGAAAAATGGAAAGAGACATACAAGACCATTGTGACTACTTTTAATTACCACAAGAGCTTATACATATTAGTGTGGTTTAAATTTAAATATTTTTACCTCTTGGCTGGTGGAGTAAGGATCTTCCTTCATGTCCAATACAGTATGGTTATCTGGATGTTTGAGCAGAGTGTCAGAAGAAGCATCTCCGTTTTTTATTGAGCCGTCGATAGTGAAGCTGATCTTGCGCTTCTCAGCTTCGTACAGATTCTGAAATTAAGATAAGTGATTATTATTTTATTTTACTACGGAAGCAAAAACGTGTTTTTTGAAGTAATATTACCAGAAAACCATGACTTTATTCTTTAGTGTGTTTGATTTTTTTTTCATTACTTTCCAAAGGCCGACTTTCCACCAGATATGGATACTTAGAAAATTGGTGTTCAGATATACCTCCATCCATCCTAAATAGTTACATGATTTTCTGATATTTAGTGTATCTGCAGTGTACTGGTGATCTGATAGGTAAAACAACTACTCCAATAGCTAGCATAACAGGAAATAATAGGAAGTAAAATATTATACAATGCGTGCAATCCTGAAAATGATTGGCAAGACAAACGTAAATGTACTATAATGTAGTGTTCAAGACTTGGTGTTGTGGATGAAACAACATGAATTGAATTGAGAGAAAGTGCTAACTAGTCAAATGCTATATATATACAATTCTGACTCTACTGTCAAACGTACAAGTACGATACTTCAACGTGATATGATAGTATGATGAAAAGGTTGTAGATACTTTAGCAATACCTAGATTGCACCTACATCTCTGAGAAGTCATACAGCATTACAATAATAAGATTAAAGTTTACGCTTTGGAGGTACCATACTGTATCTTCGCCTTTATAAAAAATATATTTGCAGACCAATCAATGAAGTAGCATACGTTCTTTATAGACATTTATTCTTTTGAATTTGAATTAAATCATCTCCGCGGTTGATATTTCAATCCACAATTTTCCTATTTCTTTGGCCAGTAAACAAGGAATAACTCGTCTGAAACGTTATGGTTTTGTTGTAAATCAGACTGTCTTGAACGTATGTATAAAATTATTCATCAACTGGTCTTACGTTTTGGGTGTTAAGTGTGCTTTCATTCATAATAAGCTATTGAACTATATCTACTTCCAAAGCTACAATAGTGACTCATAACAAAATTGTATTACTTCAACAACATAACAGTAATTATGATGAGAACTGAGAAATGTGAGATCACCGCAAACGCTCGATAATAATTTACCGAGGTAGTAAAATGAACGCCAAGACCGCAATTACCAATTAGCTATTATGTCCCCTTTTCAATTATTAAAATAATACTATTTGCAATGCAATTTACGGAATAAAAGTCAGAAATATCAATGAATCGGTAAATATATTTGTCACGAAACAATGACTAAAACCAACTCACCCACTTAATACAAACGGGTACAGAAAGAATGGGAGGATATCAATAATGGAAGGAAAAATATAGAGTCAAGCAGAATTACTCGGTAATTCCCACCGCACACAGTTAATTTTTTTATAAAAATCGATACATTCGTTACTAAGGTAACACGGTTAGAATTTTGACAGTAACACCTTATTTCCAACAAGAAAGTCATATTAAGTAAAACTGCACCCAAAAAAAGGAACAAAATGGCTAATAACAGTGGTTTGTATACGTTTCCATCATAATTACTATTTTGCGAGTAACATGATGTGAAAACGAGCTTTAAATATTTCAGACGCAATTACAGAGATGGGAAACCTTTAGTCTATGTTAGCACACTGTTCAATTAGTTCGTAATAATGTAATTCAGCCACAACACATCCACAAATCAATATAGGTATTCATGTATTAAAAAACACCAATTATTGCCAATATTAAGTTTACAAATCAAACGTCCTTAGCTCAACATGTCAGGGCAAACATTTTGTTAGTTACGCTTGAGAAAAGCATATATGGAACTTGTTAAACAATTTACACCGATCCCGCTTTTCCGATCTTCAAATTGTCCCATTCTGATAAAATGATTAAGAAAAGCAACGCACTAAGTAGTACCATGGACGCAGTAATACTTAATGCAGGTTTACATTGCTATGCAGTCACGTTGGCTAGACGCTGACCTACTATTGTTATGGGCCAAACCAAAAGTGTTAATAAAAGAAAAGAATTTGTCATTCACAGTGTTCTTATTTAAAAAGGTAAACTTCCGAGCCTAGTGGAACTGCAGAAGGCACAAGGAAACCTCGCTGCACCGTTTGTGTCACGGCAAAGGTATGACCAGGCTAAGGTATTAAATACTTGGGACCACGAATCGAACAGCTGAATGTTAAATGCATAGCTTTGTGCAAAAACTTGAGAAGATTTGTAAGCTACGTTTTATCGGAACACTTATTAAGAATCTATTATCAGAATTACTGATTTTAAAAATGACTAAACCAGTGCACTGGTTCTAGTACCAAAAACAATAAAACCGAACCGAAATAAGAGCGTCTTTTAGGTTTTTCGGGGTGTTGAGCCGTGGTCGGGTTTGATTTGATCGGTTAACTGGATGAGTATGCGGTTGTCTGGTGGGGGTACTCTAGGCCTCTTGAGTGACGTGGCTTTTGCGCTGTGTTTTTTAGAATTGGGAACCACGTTTTGTTTAAAGCAAGGCCTTCTTCTTTTCTATTGAAATTATCATTGCGTTTGTAGATTTCAATTGCTTCTCTGTACATTCGGGCTGAGTAGTGGGTGGATGTTGATAGGACTTCAGTTTGGTCGAACAGAACATTGTGGCCGCCTTGGAGTACGTGTTCGGCCACCGCTGATTTATCAGTTTCTTTCATGCTCCTTGATGCGTGTTTGGAAGCTACGTTTAGTGGTGCCTACGTATTCTTTACCACATTAACACGGTATTCTGTATACGCCGGCACCATTCAGGGGGTCTCTAGGGTCCTTTACTGATGTTAGGAGTTGCTGGATTTTATTTGTCGGCTTGTAGATGGTCTTGACATTGTGTTTCTGCAGCAACCTTCCTATTCTATCCGTGATGTCTTTAATGTATGGTAGGAAGCTGCTTTTTTGTCGTGAAAGCTGTTCTATTTGTTCCCTGCGATAGCCGTTAATATGATCCAGTTCCCTCTGCAGGTATTGAGGTTCACGAATTCGATGTGCCCTGTCTATCATATTTTTAATGACGCCTCTTTTTTGCCCAGGATGATGGTTGGAGTCCTTGTGTAGATATCTGTCAGTGTTTGTTGTTTTGCGGTAGACCCTGTGACCCAGGTTTAAGTTCTCTCGTCTGACCACCAATACGTCTAGGAAGGCCAGTTAATTGTGCTCTTCTATCTCCATTGTGAATTTGATTTTGGGGTGAATGCTGTTTAGGTGATATGGGAACACTGCTAGTTCTGTTCTTCCGTGGCTCCATACATTAAAGGCATCACGGATAGAATAGGAAGGTTGCTGCAGAAACATAGCGTCAAGACCATCTAAAAGCCGACAAATAAACAAACTGATAATTCAGCGGTGGCCGAACACGCACTCCAAGACGGCCACAATGTTCTGTTCGACCAAAGTGAAGACCTATCAACATCCACCCACTACTCAGCCCGAATGTACAGAGAAGCAATTGAAATCTACAAACATAATGATAATTTCAATAGAAAACAAGAAAGCCTTGCTTTAAACAAAACGTGCTGCTGACATTACGTGTGGAAAAGAGGTCCTCCTGGGTGGAAGCTTAGGAACAGGAACGTTGAGTTAACCGATCAGTTTCAGTCGACCCGCCAAGCCGAGCATTTTGCTCTCGCCGACAGCTCCACTGAAGATGGCTACCGCAGATGTAGCCGAAAGCTCTGGACCAAATCCAACCCGACCACGGCTCAACAGCCCGAAAAACCTAAATTACATTAGAATTAGCCATGAAAGCCTTCATTCTTCAAAATAAGAGTGTTTTCCTGTAATACGGCTCGTTCTATCGAAGTCAAACAACATCATTTTTTAGCTTAAAAAATGTCATCGTTCAGAAATTGTTAAATTTAGCAATTTTCTGTTGAGGCTAGTCCGTCTCTGGTAATCTAAACAAGTTGATTGTTTTCTTCGCAGTCATGTGAAGCTATTGATCACGATTCGGTCAAAATTTCATAGGACTATATAGTGTTTATCAAAAGGTAGATCTATTGAATGTCTCTTGTAAATAACTCTCAAACTAGAGAAAAATTATACGACTTGTGTAAGATGAGGGCCTTATTATCTCTTAAATCAAAACATACTTTATATGTCACCTGGTTTAGCTACAAATACTGATTTTTTCATTTTTCCAAGCACAAAATTTGCAAAAAGGGCGCAAATTTCACCAATCAAAAATAAGGATTTGTGACCTAGCCGCAAACTCGACCAATCAAAAAGAAAGATCTGTGCCCTGGATCAGACCTGATACAATATTTATCTAGATTGATATGACAGCAATTACTGAGCATTTTATTGAAAATAACAGCATCACTACTGAAGAATTTTCCAAAAAGGATATATTTTTAACAATCTATCAACATTGAGAAGTAGCTACAAAAACACATTTTTTCTCTTTATGGGTTTGTATCAGGCCAGTCAAACTATAAAATTGATTCTCCTTTGAAGATAAAATTACAGAAAGTTTATTCTTTAACAAGCATCGAGTGATTGACTACCGTGCGAAAAACTATGCTTCTTTCAAACTGCTTTTATGCTTAACAAGTGATTTAGAGCAACAGAACCAATGATACCCCCTTGGCGCCCTCTACTGAACGGTGGAATGACTTCGCCAACTCTAACCGTGGCACCGTCCAACAGAGAGCACCAGCAGTATCACTGGCTTGATGTTGTAATATGCCAAGGGAATTATCTCTAAAAACGTGTTGAGTTGTTCCCACGTCAAGTAAAATGAATATTACTCGATGTTTGTTGAATAAAATAAGCATCCAGTAATTTTACTTATAATCCAGTCAAAATAAGAATTAGGTTTGCAGAAATTCCCACAAAATTGAAAATTGGTACAAACCTTGAATACACCAATGTCAAAAATACCTCTTTTTGTCAAATTTCTCTGAAAGGGAAAGAGATACCCAAAAAATACCTAATACAGAAATGGCAGCGGATACAATTATCTATAAAAGTTGTTCAAGTACTTTTACTCCTTGAGTCACTGTTTTTGAGATCTGGTGATCTGCGGCATACATATGTGTACGCCATCGACCGTTCAAAATAAACATACGAGGGGGTATCCAAAAACACCCGGATTTATTTTTTAAAAGCTATTTATTTTCAACTTTTCACAAAGTAACCTTATCTCCTTCAAAATACTGTCCACTACAACTAATACTCTTATCCCACCAGTGCTTCCACTGCTCGAAATATTTTTTAAAGTCTTCCTTCGAAATATCTGACAGCTCCTCCCCCGTTTTTTTCTTTACCTCTTCAATGTTGTCAAAGCGGCGTCCTTTCATGCCTCTTTTCAACATTAAAATAGTTTCAGCAGCATTTTTACCAATAAGGAATCAAAATTTCACAGCTGCACGTTGCTCACTGAAGGTTGCCATCGTAAAAAACGAATCAAGCACGAAACAGGTCTAGCAAAAATAATGACTACAGAGGAACGAAACAAGCCAGATCGACAACTCAGGTGGCACTGAACAGGTAATGACTTGCGCTGTACGCCTCTAGGGGCAGAAATGTGTACCACACAAACTCCGCCCACTGCAATGCTATTCCGGTTGTTTTTGGGCACCTCCTCGTATGTATATGTGGAAGCACTGAAATATGCGACCTATACTAAAATATACACCACATATACGGGGTGTAAAAAAAGTGTCAGCGATTTTTCTAAAAATGCATTCCATTAGCAACCAACGGTTTGTATATAGCACAGTTGAGGGAAAAATGCTTGAAAACTCAAAAAAGCAGCTTATAGTATTGATGTGTACCATTCAAACACATCCTGGACTGCTTAAGGTGGTCTCAAAATGAATAAAAGGTTACATGGTAAAATTAACATTTTTTATATTTATCTGGAACGGTACGATTAACCACAAAAACAGTTTGTACCAAAATTGTAGAGAATGCAATTAAATTTAAATCTTGCCCAATTGATTTATTGTTAGTTACTGTTTAAGCGTTCTTCGATTTATTGGATCTAAGCTACCACTACGCGACATGTTTTTTCGTTATCGATCGTTTGATATAAACTGAGATATGGAAGCAGTGATATGTGCGAAACGTACTAATGTATATACATATCACTTATGCAAGGTGTTTGCAAGGACGAAAATCAATGATCTAGTTTGACTGACCATCGGGTCACAAACCTATCAATAGAAATGAGATTGTTCGAATTTTCAACTTTCGATTGGTTGAATTTGCCCCTAGTGGCAAATTTTGATTCCAGAGGGTCAATAGAAAAATTGGGCCTTAGAGGCTTGTACCGCCAAGGGAATTTTTTATAGGAACATTATTTTCTTTATCTATATGCACCCAAGTGATTGTAATGTTATTCTGGGTTTCGAAACTCTGTATATGTGAGTGTTAATACTAGCATTTTTTTTGAATAAAAACAGTGTACCTAAACAGGTTCTATAATGGTTTACTGAATAAAGCCATACGTAACTGCATATAAGTTGCACTAATCACTGTCTTGCGAGGCATGTGAATTTATCTGAGAAAATCATGGATCAATGAATGTGTTAATTGAGACTTATTTTGACGAGTGCAAATACGAAAAAAATTGCCCATCTCCAGTCACACCTAAAAAACGAATACGTATTAAAGAGAGACACACGTGCTGCTGACATTACGTGTGGAAATGAGGCCCCCCTGGGCGGAAGCTTAGGTACAGGAACGTTCAGTTGGCCGATAGTTGTATGGGCTGAGGATATCGAGCAACGTGCCATCATCGCATTGTAGTTTATGCCGTCTTCCAACCATAGTGACTGCAACGCGAGTTCAAAATGGTTTAGGTCGAAACGATCGTTCTTCGTATAGGTTGTATACGTAGATGATACGCAAATTATGGATCTCACGTAGGAATAATTGAACGCATCCACAGATCCGCAACGCACGCATTAAACAGATTTTAGAGTGGAGAAATTGCTACCTATAAAAAGTAGTATTTTTAAGGCCAATTATTAAAACATCTTGGAAACTAAATCCGCAAGTATCAAATCGAACGCCTTGCCCACTGTTCTCCGAAGACGTCTATTCACCATGGTGCCAAAACGCAACGTTGCCAGGACGACCTCCGTTTGTGCCGTGAAAAAATATTCAGCCGGCCAGTTCAGCATATTTCTATTGTCTCCTCCAAGTAGAAACACTGGTCACAGCGATAATTCGATAAAAAGCTCTCGCTGCTCTGCCCGCTTGTCGCGAGCTGCTAGGTCGAAAATTTTACCTGACCAAGATCGGAAGTAACTACAAGGATATCGATTTAATCATCGAATGAGGTTTGCATTGTTGCGGATGGTCAGAGATGTTATAATTTCTGATCCCTTTGATTGCACTAAGCATTTTTGAGAATTTGAATCGCTGAAAGTTGTCGAGCATTGGCTAATAGAAAACACCTACAGGTGTAACCACAACCTAACTTATTTGACACAGTTTGCGGTACTTTTATAATTTATATAATTTGTAATATTATTAATGGAGAGGCAGGTCAAAACAATTCACAACCATATTATAATTGCTATCTATCAAATGACAAAATTTAGATGAAAATAGGGTGATGATATTTTTGAGATTTCAGAGTACGATTGGATGCTTATAAAACTTGTAAAAAGTTTTGGTTTCTAACACTTTGACAGATATTCCAGCCGCTTGCCTGCTAGCGCGACTTCGACGTTGGTTGTATCTATTTAAATGTGCCGGAACAGAGAACAGAGGCGGATTTAATATCATTTTTTACCGTTTTTCAAGATGTTTTCGCTTATTATTGAAAATATCGAGTTGTCGTTTTGCAGGTGAAGGGATGCATAGTCATATGTTTTCACGCAATTAGGTACAACACAAAGAAAAAAAGGTGCACCAACTAGTTGAATCAACCTTTGCCAAATAAAATTCGTTAAAAAATTATTTTGAAGAGACCTAAATATTGTTGAATTGGTCCTGAATACAAAAATACAATCATAAAGGATGTTCGAAAAAATATCTAAGTAAGATTGGCAAAATCTAAGAAAAACTGTTGAGAAATTTCGATGCTATGGCAAAAAGCTGTACTATTGCATCATGTTAGTACATACAAGGTCATACCAGCATTAGAAAATAGATATTGCTTAGGTTATAATGACTTTATAAAACGTGACGTATCATCTTAATAGTTGAAAGAGATTTGATGCCAAGATTAATATAATTATTTTCAAAGATTCCTTCATTCTTAAAATTGATGTAATTTTTCCCCTGAAATCAAAGCACAAAAAAAACTTAGACATTTTTTTACAAGTGCCGTAAGCTCATGTAATTACAGTATTTTCACAAGTTTTGTTTTTCAAATATCTAACGATCTTGCAATACTAGGTTTTCGGTCTTCCTTATAACAACGAAGAACGTTTGTTAAACATTCACAGTTATGTGCTTCACAACTTGAAGTTTTATAGGTAGGTAACTCGAAGCCCTCTTGAACACTGAATTTAAATCCTATAAGTGTCTGAGTGTCTTTGCTTCATGTTGTGGTGGGGCCAGCTCAGATTTGGGACAGGCTAAGCCTAAGGGTCTTATAGACGTCCCTTGAGGGCTGAGTGCTGTTTGCGGATTAATTTACACTTAGAAATAATGTAACCTTGGTAACAACAAGGCTTCCTTAAGGGATAACTTAACATTAACAGGCTGTCATCGATGTCAGAAAGATTTGCCTCTACTAGCCGTATATATTTAGCATTTTGATGAGAGTTTTTCGTGGAATTTTTTATTTTTGTGTTAAACATTGCTAAACAATGCAAAATAGTAATGCAACAGTTTCCCCGAATTTATAGCGGAATCGGAACTAGCAAACTGTGCGTATAAGCAACCAGTACTGCACCGAATTTCTGCTGGCTGTTTATTGTAGAACTCGTCTGAGAGATTCAGCAGACAGCCCTGGTACAACAGATTATTAGCTATACTCTTGGTAGCTGGTATTAAAAAAAATCAAATCTTTCATAATCATTTTATAATGTGTAACACCGAAACTAAAAAGAAATTAGCGAGGCAAAGAAAATACATCTGATCGAGATACTAAACAAATTTAAAGGAATTGTTGAAAATAAAAAAGCTGATAGCTGCTCAATCACTTTGAACAACAATGCTTGAGAGTGAATTGCAATAAATTTAAAGAAAATAATGCACCCGAAAGAAGCAGTAAATAACTGAAAAATTGTGGGAGAATACCAAACAAAGGCAAGTAGAATGAATTTGTAACAGCTAGGGAAATAATCATACTATCTATGAATCAATTTTTATAAAGCAGTTCATAGAATAGGCGATTGTGACCAGACATTCCATAAAGGATTAATTGTTAGCTAAAATTAGCGCAACGGCTCCATATTACTATAGCTATATAAAATGGACGCATTATCGGAAATTGATGTTAACAGCCCCATACGTACGATGCAGACCTATGGACACATGCCTTAAGAGCCATCGAAAATTCTTGCAATCATTTTAATAACAGGATGCAATTGGGAGGGCTCATTGTTAACACAACTGCATTTTTCCAGTTATATAATAGTATAATTATATTTCATTATACGGGTAAAGGTAAAAATTCAACATGTTACAGTTTCTTTTTATGGTCGATAAAGTAAATTATTACAACGTTGTTCTCAATTAAAATCAAAATTTTATAGCCATTCTTAAAAATATCGGAATTTATTTTCAGTAATAAAACACTACTCCTGGACTAATAATTTTGTGGTAGAAAATCGTACTCTACTCTCCATTTTTTATAATTTCTGCTGACCGTAAAAACGAGAGCTGAAGGTGACTTGGTGCTATTTCCGGTGCTCTGGTGTAGGAATTCTGCGGCTCACTGCCCGAGTCTGTGAAATAGTTTCACATGCTGAGTTGGGGATTTATAGGGTGGTGGGGTTTTTTATTAGAAATTCTCTTGGTGGTTGTTTTTGTTGGAGCCTTTTTATCACCCTCCTGGGGATTTAACCGTGAACATGTCTACACTCAACCGTCTGCAGGGATAGTCCAAAATTGAGTGGGATTCACGCCTGTGAGGAGCGGGTCCCATTTTTGTGAACCCTCAATGTTCCGAGGGTTGTACTTCCGGGTTCTACCTTCAGGTTACATCTGGGATTTCCTGCTCTCGGTTGCCTACCGGTAATAGCCAAGCACCTGCATAGGTTTCTTTTCATTCTAATATTTACTGGAAACCATTTAGCTAGGCGGGTAATGCAAAATAATTTTCTTAGCCTATCCTCCAGGACTTCTCTTTAAATTTTTTAATTTTTTTTTGTTCAATTAATGTTTGTGTGCCTTGTGAGTTTGTATCTCCTTTAGCGGCAGAATCCTAACAGTGGTTACTTGTTATTTCTTTTCCTTGGAACTAGGTGGTGCCCGAACCACCACCATTTGCATACAAAGACCATAGTACAAAGAACAAGAACCTCACTCTGGGGGGCTCATATCTACCAATTGGCGGTATAACAAACATCATCATATCATATATGACAAGATAATATAGATACACACTTGTGCATCCCAGTCACAGTTACGGATAGGTTTGGTAAATTGCAATAATTATATTGAACCGAACATATTTACGCTTCTTTCTCTTCGTTCTTCATCTTCCAGAGTGCCGTTCTGTAATGGGGCTATTACTGTTCTACCGAGTTATGTATCATAAAGATAGCCGGTTGTAAAAGTTGCCAATATTATTAATGTTTTAGCGCTTACCTGTAGTGAAGTGTAGCTATGCTTTTTATTACTAAATCTGAACCCTCTATCGTGATGGTCGTTCACGTGGCGATGTCTTAAAAGAAGGGTCCTCATGATTTTACCCTTATCTTCTTCCTTGACGAGATCATCTTTAAATAGTTCTTCACAGATCCTGTAACAAACGAGGTTCATCAATTATAGACAATGTGGAGTCATCAAATATATAAATATATATATATATATATATATATATATACAAAATTTTGTTCGTTGACTATGTGTTCTCTTCCACTATCGCTTAAGAACAATTTATGTGAGTAACTCATTTAGTTACCTATAAGCAATAGCCGGCAATTCCTTCTCCTCCATATCAAGAATGACAAGCCCCTCTTCAAGACATCGTCTCAAATTGAGCAAAGAATGGAAGCTCAACGATGCAACGTGAGGCTTTCCCCATCTGTCTACACCTTCTTCTACATCTTCTTCGTATTTGATCCAACGAGCGGTTTCTTTCCATTCTTTTTCTTCTTTTGCGTTTTCCAATTTCGTGAGTTCGGCCAATTCCACGAAAATCTGCGTCAATACAATAGAATATTGAAAATTTGTGAACTATAACTAGAATCTTTATCGTTAAATGTTACAAGCAATGTCCATTGTGTGGAAAAATCTAAAAATGACTTTTCAAATCGCAAAATCACAAAGTTTCACTGCTTGTAAGTGTTCTGAGTAATCAGCATTCCAGTACTGTGTCGGTGAAATCTCATACAATCTCAACAGAACACAATGAAGGCATATCTTGCAGTATTCTAATTAGTTATCAAATATACACTACCGTTCAAAAGTATTTGAACAGCACCATATTTCCAATTAAAATCATAACAAACAAAAAAATTATTCACTATGTATTTATTTTTCTGTATTTACTGAAAACCATCACCATGCAAATCAAGCATCACTGAAAGGTCATTGAAATCTAAATTTTGCTCATACTATTATTGGGATCTCATCATTAGCCATAATAGGAATTTCTTTGCCTTTAGAATATTGTTATGTTTTTGTATAGGAATTATTTCTCAGGATTTGTTTTTCGATTATTTCTTTAATCATTATAAATTCCTACTAAAATGTTTCAACTTTGAAACCTTTGTCAGAGACTCTTGATTTGATAAAAAAGTGAATGCAACAGATTCTTACCGCATGGGGACTGTGATCGTACAACTTTTTCAGTGATGGATGTAGTTCTGCTCCTTTTCCAATGTGCATGAGCGATGTATTAGATGGCCTTGAGGCTTTGTGCCTCCTAAGGGCTCGGGAATCGTCTGATCTATAAAATAATATTAGAATTAGGATGAATTTTTCAAATTTAATGCAGATGCAGATGAAATGACCGAACATCTTCTAAAACGTTTATATATGCTAAAACAGTTGGTTACCTTTTGTGGTAAATGTGAAGAAGCACGAAACAGGACCTCAGCTAATTGTACTAGTGCTGTTGTATTCCTATTTCAAAATTAAAATAATTCTAATTTCCAAAAATTAATTACATAATTCTTCTTTCTCGCTTTACAAATATTGCAGGAAATAAAGATACTATCAGTACTTTGTCCAATGGACATAGTATTTTCTTCGACTTCTTTTAGGCATCCTTACCATTTATTTACAACTACCTATTATCATTATCAAGCCATTTACATTTTAAAAAGTGTTATCTTTCGCTTGTATGGGTATAGTAAAACGTATTTTCGATTTTTTATCGATCCATAGAGTTTCAAAGTTAACTATCTCTTATCAAACTAATTATATTTTTAAAAAGGTCGTCCTTGGTATGTAGACTATCATAGTTATGTATGTACCCATACAATTTATAGTTGTCTATAAAAATATACTAACATATTAGGGGTAACGTAAAACATTCAGGTAAAACAAAGCAAGCATGTTCACGTGATAGTGCGTGAGCCATCGCTGGTGGATTCGATATCGATAACTTGGTCCACCGAGACCAGCACAAAATAATGCAAACATCAGCACATATTTGCTGCATTTTCTTGAAATTATTAAAATGTACCATCAATATTCACAAGACCAAATACCATCCTGTCCAATTCTTCAGCTTCCAGTATCACGCGCACAGTGTAAACACCGATTTATATTACACAATTACTTTTACAAGATTTGTACACCCGTATCCGGATGTATGGGCATGTGTATCTACTTTTTTAGTTGCATACGTGCATTCATTTCGGACCTGATGAAGTCAACAAGCAGAAACACGTATTGATCGGGTTATTTTCTGCTCGAATTCACTTTCCTTCTTTTTGCGGAATTTGCCCATTATTTTATTATTTGTTATATACCTTTTTCCGCATGATCCTTTTCTCTTTATATATATATATACTCGTATATATATATATATATATATACTGTTTCCTTTCAAGGACACAGCATTTTGCATCCTCCCTTAGGAGTTGTGCTAGCATAAATTTTGATGTGTATACAGGATCCTCATTGAATTCTGTTATTATTTGTTATACACCTTTTTCCGCATGATCCTTTTCTCTTTATATATTCATATACATATATATATATATACAGGGTGACTTCGAAGTTAGTCATTTATTTTAACAGTGAGTAGATCTGATCAAAAGAAATGTTTTTTCCTATAACATTTTTCTGGTAAAATTAAATTAACAAAGTTATAGCCCTTTAGAAGCTAGAGTACCGCCATGTCTCAATAATAATATTATTATGTGCTCATGTTTGGCAACAAGCCCAGCTCTGCGTCGAGCAAAACGGAAATCATTTCGATCAGTTTTTGTGACATGCTTTTGGGCGCACTTTATAAAACGAGGTAACATTTTTTTTTAATTTTTTTTTATTTTTACACACATATTTTGGTTTATCTTCCTTCTACAATTATTATCTGAAAATTAATGACTCAACTTCAAAGTCACCCTGTATATATACAGGGTGGCGCATCGAAAACGAAACAGACGCATTTACTGGCAGCTCAGTTTTTTTTTGAAAAACGATCAGACCCGTCGAATTTGTTTTCGAGGGGGACACAAGTTTGGCAAAAAATCACGTTAGCACGTGCAGTCCCCTAAGCGGGGGTGACACCACCCCCAAAATCTTAAATGGAAAGGGGGGTCGAGTGATACCTTATTTTAAAGGTCTTTCAATTTCCTTTATAATGATCTAAAATTAATGTACTTCAGTTCAGTAGTTTTGAAGATTTATTGATTTAAAGCTTAAATAAAACTAATACATCATCATTAGTGGAGATCAATACATTTGGCAGCAAAGTAATTTAAAAATGAAGAATGAACTGACCCGTTAGGCAAGTAAATGACGAAAATGGCCACCTTGACTCTCCATGCAATAATAAAGATTTTGGTCAAAACGTTGCCGCACATTTTGCAATATTTGAGGAGTAATTTGAAGGCACTCATTCACAATTCTTTGTCGCACGTCTTCTAATGATGTTGGCTGAGTAGCATAGATTTTGCTTTTTAAATGACCCCACATAAATAAATCCAAAGGTGATAAATCTGGCGATCTTGGGGGCCATTCAATGGCACCTCTTCTACCAATCCATGGATCTGGAAACGTCTGATCTAAATATTGTCGAACACGTAATGCGTAATGTGGTATGGCACCATCCTGTTGGAATATCAACCTATTCGCAATGTACCGCCGATCATTCTGATTTTCAATTACGGCTGTTAATGCAGGATCTATGGCGTCTTCCAGTAATTCCAAATACATTTCACCGGTCAAATTTCTAGTTAAGAAAAAAGGACCAACTAAATGATCGCCAAAAATACCAGCCCAAACATTTAATTTTTGTGGCTGCTGTGTATGAACCTCATGATAAATTCTGGGATTAGAGTCGGACCAATATCGGCAGTTATGACGATTTACTACTACGCTATTTAAGAAAAAGGAACATTCGTCGGAAAAGCAATACCAGGTTAATTTATGTAATAAATTATTTTAGCAACAAAGTTTAGTCAAATCAATCGCAAACTATGTACTAAATTCCTATTTAAAATAAGTACGAGATATTTCCTTATCTTTCTTCAAGAAATAACTTTTTTGCCACAAAAAAACGCTCCAACAGCTATTTTCAACAACAAAATGATAAACAAACCATGGGCTTAGTGAAGAAAAGCATTAACTTATTAAGTAAATTCTTTTAGTCAAATTTCTTCTGAAAGTAGTACAAACTAATTTGATGTACCTATTAAAGTCTACTTTAAGCTTTAAAGCAATAAATCTTCAAAACTACTGAACTGAAGTACATTAATTTTATATCATTATAAAGGGAATTGAAAGACCTTTAAAATAAGGTATCACTCGACCCCCGTTTACATTTAAGATTTTAGGGTTGGTGTCACCCCCGCCCAAGAGGCTGCACGTGTTAACGTGATTTTTTGCTAAACTTGTGTCCCCCTCGAAAACAAAAACGATGGGTCTGAGCGTTATTCCAAAAAAAACTGAGCTGCCAGTAAATGCGTCTGTTTCGTTTTCGATGCGCCACCCTGTATATACAGGGTGTTCCATAATTATTGCGACAAAATAATAGGGGTTGTAGAGGGCATCAAAATAAACAATTTTGCCTTATAAACCCCTGTTCGGAAATATGCCGTTTGGGCTGCAACAAAAAAAAAAGATTAGTTTCTTGAAACAGCTTACCTACAGTAATTGCTCAAAGTATCCTCCACCTTGCTCAATACACAGCTGTGCACGATTGTTCAATGATCGGCGAACTCTGTGGCATACCCCCGGTATGTCCTGAACATGTGCGGACGCGGCCATCACTCTTCCCAGTAGCTCTTGTTGGTTGGGAACAGGAGTCTCGTACACTAAAGCTTTCAGATGGCCCCAGAGAAAATAATCCAGTGGGGTCAGGTCGGGTGACCGCGCAAGCCAAGGCACAGGGCCACCTCGGCCTATCCATCTATTTGGAAATTTGTCGTCCAAATACTGCCGCACTTGTAAAGAAAAGTGGGCTGGAGCGCCATCGTGTTGAAACCACATGTTGGCTCTTATGTTCAGCGGCACATTTTCTAATAGTTCCGGTAGCACATGCTGTAAGAATCGACCATAAGCATGCCCATCCAAACGTGGTGGAAGCAAATATGGCCCGATGATATGCTCGTCCACGATGCCGCACCAGATGTTAATTGAAAACTGATGTTGGTCTCTATGGAGGGCTATGGCATGAGGGTTTTCTTCATCCCAAATGTGACTGTTACGACTATTAAAATAACTGTCCTTTGTAAAACAGGACTCGTCAGTGAACAAAACGTAGCGACCAAAGTTTGGTTGCCTTGCAAAAATGGCGTGATGCGGATGAGGACGTTCTGGAAACCGTTGGGCGTAGATTCGCGAGGCTCGTCTTCCGCTACCACCAGCTTCTTCGTAAATTAAATGCATATCCGTAAGTTCCGCATACGAATAACGCTGCATTTTAACAATAAGGTACTGTTATTTACTATCTAGTTTGACGCACCACTCAGATAAATTAAATGAATCGGTGTGGAGAATTTACGATAACAAAAATGTAAATTCAGAAGGCTGTTTTTTACAAACCGGCGAGACCATGAAATGTGCTAGACGAACATTTTGCAGCTGGTGAAATGTTTGTTTCTCCTATGAGCTCTTAAGGTAAAATTAGCGGTAGTGCTCAAACGGCATATTTACGAACAGGGGTTTATAAGGCAAAATTGCATATTTTTATGCCCTCTACAACCCCTATCATTTTGTCGCAATAATTATGGAACACCCTGTATATACATACTGTTACCTTTCAAAGACACAGCATTTTGCATCCTCCTTTAGGAGTTGTGTCAGCATAAATTTTGATGTGTATACAGGATCCTCATTGAATTCTGTTTATACCGATGTCGTTTTATTGTCCTTATTGTAAAAGCACCAATTCAAGTATTAAATATTTTGATTCCCCTATATGACAATCTATGTAGCAACCATCAGTATAAATCTATAAATCTTTACGTAAGTACTACTACTTTGGTTCCATATATTTAACAGAGCAATGGTTATTTTGCTTCCGACAGTGTTGCGAATTTAAGGGGAATAGGAATTTAAATGCTGTGACCAGGGACCATCTCTCAGTTCAGCTGAATTATTAATTCGGTTTGTATAGAGAGTATACAAGCTATTCAAAACCGCCGGAGAAGCTTGCTCTTTTAGCGGCATCGTTGTAATTCTGGTTCTAAAAAGTATATTAGATAGATAATCTGTGGACTTACCTATGACTATCCAACTGGTCTCTATCGTTAGGTGGAAGCTCTTGATCTTCTGGTTGTGTGGACACTCGCCTAATCCTATTGTTGTTGATAAGAGGCTCCGATTTTTCATTGAATAGTTGCTTCTTCGAAGGATCGTCTGGTAGGGAATATTTGCGGAATTTCGAGTGATAGCCATGATGGTGATGGTGACGTCTACAAGAGAAAACTATTTTACAAAAAACTATATTTGAATGACGAGTGTATTCAAATTTTTAATATGGATTTAACCCCACATTCCAAACCAATTTTCCCAAAGAATTCTACATAAGAGACAACTCTTGTCATTCTAAAGTGCAACAGATGTTTCAAAAAAGTCACTGTTATAAGAAATATTTTCATTCTTGTACGTGGAACATTTCTAGTCCTTTGTATGCATTAGTTAATAGTGGTTGTACTGCATGAGCTAAATTTTGAGTCGATACATTTATCCACATATATTAATAATAATAGTGTAGTTTAGCAAAGCTATTGTTACAGAAAACCGTGTTAGAACTAAAGCCTAATACTAATGTGACATACAAATATAGTATATTTTTACTTAAAAAAAAGAATGGTAATGGATCACATGGTTTAGAACCAAAGGATATTTATTCATTGTTGCTATGCTGCATTTCTAGGAGATGAAGTCTGAGATGAAGTTTGAACCGGATGCTATTACGATTTGCTATACCTGTGGTGAAGGCCATCCATTTTATAACTTATGCTAATTTTGGATGCACTTTTTACTTTTTAACTGCCACTATGTTTTGGATCGCCTTGTATACTATTGTATGGTGGTGTAACCACATCAACTATTATCCAAAATGGTGCATGTAAAATTTAGCAAAACATGACATTTGATATCGGCTTAAAAATGATGGGGCAAATAGCTTGTTCAAAATTCTTTGTAAGTATCTCAAGAAACTTGGTGAGAAACAACTAGTTAAAGTATAAAATAGAGAGTTCACCTGTTTGAAAGGTCACTCCTGAAGGTACATGGGAATAAATGCTTTCACAGAGGTAAGAAACTTTATAGAAAATTGTATTATCTCCCATACACTTTCTAGTAACTGAGTTTTCTTCGACTGACGTAAACAACACCAAGCATTTAGTGAAGGCAAGTTGGAGATTTTTTTTCCACATATAAACGCTCATCTCAGTAGCCTTTTTTTTCATTGCACGGGTTTTATCACAGTGCTGTCATCGGCAAATAAATTTATATGAAAGAATCTCTTATTATGTATGTTTGATAGGTATTGATAATATTTTTTGAACGCCATGAATGCTCTTAACGATGCGTAAAAGTTTAATTGCTCGTTTTCCGAGCTCCCAAGCATTTAGGGCCTAACGCATTGTAGATCAAGATATCTACAATTTAAGCAAATAAAATTGTATAGACAGACTATCTAACGAAATTATATTTTTGAGGATAAAAAAGGGGCGCCTCGCTTAAACATACATACACATATAAAATTTGCTGAATTACTTTTATATTAATTTGGAAACATCATCAATTTTTACATGCCCTCTTTTGACGAGGTCGGCCGCGATGTAATCGTTGCAACGCGTTGCAGCAAATTGACCATATTATATGGTCTCATCGTAAATATATGTTCATCTTCTGCAAATCCTAAAATATATTACCAGGAATATATCTTGTAACAGTGACAATGCATATCTGCCATTGTCATTTTGTGCTTAGAAACAGGCGAGGTGAAACTCCAGTAAATCTTGAAAATTCAACTGCACTTTCATAAATACTTAATAGTTTTTGAACATATGCGAAAGTGATTTTTCTAGCTTTGACGTTTGATAAATAAATAATAACTAAGTTATTTTTTGTATCTCTAGATGCGGGACTTCTCATTTATCTACAAATATACAGTGACGGCTTGAGTTCAATGTGTACGAGAGAGAAGCGCGAAAAGTGTGTATGAACACATGTTAGAAAGAATAGAAGCCGGCTGAAGAGTGAAGGTAAACAGTAGTTTGAAGTATTGAAAGAAAAAAAAATTCGTTTACGACATACTATTTCAATAGCGTGTATGATCATGAACTAACAAGTAACGAATTTATGATGGATTTAGACATATCTTATTGTTTTTTCGGTTCTTCAGAGAAATAATAATTGAAACAATAAAGCTTTGCTGGGGATTTTACAATCTGACTCATTACTACACTAGTCATGAAATTCCACGCTATGTGTGTGTGTGCTTTCGCCAATAATTTAGATAGTAATTGTGTAATCAGCCTTAGCACTAATCAACTTCATGATCAAAGGCGATCAACTCTGCCTTTCTGGATGATTAACCAATCTCCAATTAAAGCTGAACTAGACATTTAGCGAAAGACAAATTGGTTACTTCTAATTAGAAACATCTAGATACGATAGGAGGGCCATGTACTTGGAGTGCATGCTACAATGCTGTTGTTGGCCAAATAGCCCAGTCATGTTTGGTTTATATTCTAAGTGATAGGCAGAAATGAGGATCCATACCTTAAGTGCCGCATAATGCTAGAACATAACATTGATGAACATAAGGGACCGACTGAAGCTTCACGTTCGAGGTTTAGCCAAAAAAGGCCAAAAGGTATTACGTATCATGAAAAGTGACATTATAGCGATTTTTTTTTGACATTGTATTGTTTTTTTTGTGACATTCTGTCGGTTTTTGTATTAGATGTTGACTTAGCACTAGCTGATGAACACATTGTGAACTAAATTTGTAGTTGCACGTGTTGCCTAAACATCATGATGCTTCAATTACCATGTTTTGGTTTGGATGCTACCCCGTCCATTTTCTTATGGGATTTTAACCTTCAGCGGTAAGTTCTGTTTTGTATACCATCGGACCAAGTCCATTAATGTATGTCCTGAAGAAGTTTGTTCAATATCTTCTTCCTTTTAGTGGGAAGGTATTCCGGAGGGCCACCAGCTTTGTTTTGTAGCTGCCTTGTAGCTGTTTCGCAGCCGTTTTTGCTGGAAGCCACCCTTTCCCCTTGACAAAAAAACCCTGATGTGAACAGGCAAAATATCATTTTGATTGAATATTTTATAGATATTGATAAATTAATTATTGCTGACTGAACTGTTTGGCATTTTTCGTAATCAGTGCCTACATGGCTTTTATTATTACATTCATCATGATTTTGATTTTTGAGCTACCATACTTTTCTTTCAGAACAAGGGATACATTTCTGAGGGTATGTCACTTTAGTGGATTTTTATCTTTTCTTGCCTTTGCTTTACTTTTCTTGTAAAAGATAATGTACATGGTTTTTCTTCAAGTTTTGAATGTTTTAAATGAGTAGTTTTGTCTCAGACAGAGAATAGAGAGTAGATTTTCAAGTAGTCTTTCTCTTTCCAGCGCTTTTTTATACCGTAAATTTTGAGAACGAGGCAGCACCCCCTACCTTGTGACGTGCCGACTACTGGCTACTGATTTTTGACCTGAGCATTTGTCAGCTGAGGACATCTCAGCTGCGCCTATGGCCGTAACTGGAAGGAGACCATTGAACAGATAAGTTAAGGTTTAGGCATTAAAATATTTGTAAAGCCTTCGTACGTGTACCACTCCAGTGGTGGAGCATATGTGCTGTTTGTGATTCTTTTTTAAATATATTGTTTTATTTGGCTATCTGTGTACAATTAATTAGGTATTGTCATCACTGTGAGATTCTTTTCTTTTGTGTGGGTGGTCAGGCAGAACAAGTTCCGATTAACACCTCGGGGATTTGTGGCCTAATCCGTCTTAAGTCACTGGCGCGCTTAACCCCCCCCTCTACTCTCCGCTTTATTGAGCTAGGGCCTGAATTTTAATTAATTTTATATAAAGGAAAGAGGAATAATTTTTATGCAAAATGCGCTTTGGCTTCTCGTGTGCATAGGAAATAGTCGCGCGTTACAAGCGTTATAACGTATTTTTTGCAGCCCATTAATTCAACGTTCGTGTTTCCCGGATATTTTTTTTTGATAAAACTGGTGCACTCTCCGTATTTGAAACATTTTGCCCAGGTTCATCCTGAATTTCCTCCCATAAGAACATAAAACATCTGTCATTTCATAAATCGAGTTGCGGGAAATTTTCTTCCATTTCGTATATACTTCCCGTGCCGTTATTCTAAAGCAACAAAGAAGAGAAGTGATAATCATGAAAATACTGGCTGTAAAAAAATGGTTGCATGCAAAGTCAAAAGTAAAATCTGTATAATGTGACAGTGTTGACAGATGAGAACACTAACACGAGCTATTTCAGATCGTGCGATATGTCTACACCCAGTGCAAAACTAGTACCAAGTAAGAACCAAGAGAATATAAAATATGCACCACTGCAAACTAGCTTCACCAAAAGAAAACGCATCTTCAGGAGCATCAGCAAGTTTATTTTTAGAAAGGTGACGATTCTTATGAATTTTTTTGTCGAATGGAAAAGTTGGCAGATGTTCCATCGGTTTTACTCATGCGTAGGGTGGAAACGGTATTGCCATGTAAAAAATCTTCTTAACGACTTATTACTGACAAAGACTGTTATCGCGCGAGAATTGAGGTTACCACGTGACCTGGTATTCTGGGATAAACCAGATGTGGATGCTGTTACATCACCAAACTTGGGAAAATAATGGAGGAGCCACGTGCATTGGTTCGCCCTAATTTGAAGATTGATGATTCTCGGTGATAGCATGAAATAAAGCTACGACATCAGCGACTGATAACAAGAACGTTATCTTGCATGATTTTACAACTCTCAGCGTACAGAAGGTCTGCAGTGTGTTCGTAGGACTCGCTCTAGAATTTTTGATACCCTAGGCGAGTGTATTGATAAGTTCTACAAAACTATACGAAATTTGAAACATATACTAAGTGACATATAAATCCGAACAATCAGTTTAAATGGTTTTATTTTAATAAAATTTTGTATAAGTACTTAATGAAGCATAATAAGTAAATGATAAACATTTCAAAATGATTGCACTGCTTTAAAGCCCTTTGACCTTTAATAATGTGTGGATGCACCCTGATGTGCTACACATTCTCCAACGCGCCTAGGCATGCTTCTGATCAGGTGGTCAATGTCCTCCTGTGGTATCTCATTCCAGGCAACCACCAACTCCTCTCGAAGTGCTTCTAGAATCTGAGGAGGACGTTGCAAATTGAGCAATCTCCTACCCATCATATCCCACACGTGCTCAATTGGGGATAAGTCGGGAGATCTTGGTGGCCATGGTAACAATGTGAC